GCGGGTCTGATAGATCTGTCACCTGCTCACGTACAACGGCCCATATTCGATGTTTGCCAAACATGATAACCACCGACCTTTGCTAATAATTTATGAAATTTCCAATAGTAATAAGCCTCGGACCAACTTCATAAATTACGGCTCCTAAGCCGAGGCTCTGTCTAATGTGCCCATTCCCTGCACCTCGTTCTCGTCTCGTTCCTCGTCCTTGGCCCCTGGGCACGTGCAACTAGTTTGCTGATTGATTAAACCACGCAACATCGCAGCATCAACTAGAAACTTGAACGTTCCAGGAATTGTTATTAGATCGTTTGCTAGTTTCCCCGTTTTCCTACTTTTCGCTTGCTGTTGCCTTTGATGCCGATGCCGATGCTGATGCGGATGCTGATTCTGATGCTGATCTGACGTGGACGGCACACGTGCTAAAGTCACTTTTAACGGAACAACACGGCATCACTTAACGCGCTCTCCATGCGGCCGTATCCCCCAACCCAGAGTCCTAGAGTCCTGGAGTCCCGAACCCATGCCCATTGACTCGGACGTGACAAGTGCGAGCAATGGGCGATATTTCGACGTGGCCCAGGACTCGACTTCGTCTCCAACTCATTGTCATGTGCAGCGCATAAAGGGGCGGTGTTGGGTGCTAGTGGAAGCTGAAGTGGTGGCCAGAGAGGGAGAGAGAGGGGGGAATACCCAATATGACAGCCCCGGGCAAGGCCGCTTCTTAAAGCATATCAAGTATACGCCCTGTGTTCCCGCACTTTCACTCGCTGAGCCCAGTCGCCCTTCGTTAAAGTCAAGCATGCCATAAAATCAAATTCCAAACGAGCTGATGGAATTACTTGCAAAAATATTTAACAACACGAGTGAGAGCATGCTAAAAATCCAAATTATTGTCAACACTCGTCTCGAGTTTCGGGACACTTGATGAAATGTACTTAGAACGTAACAGGAGCACATTAGGATGGCGTGACCCACTCTCCGCCACTCAAAAGCGAGAATTAATTAAGCGGGCTGTGGAGACGCAAGAGTTGGCCGCTCAATTTTCGAAAAAAATATTTCACAGCCACTCGACGGGGTGCACCTGGCCATTATGTAAGTATGCTAATTCCCTCTTGGCCTGAAAACAAAGCTCTCCGCTCTCGGCAGAGGGTCGGGTTCTGGTGACGTATTCATTAGAAATGCAAATGGGCATGGCGACATCTTCAAGTTCAAGTTGCCGATAAATTTGGATGCGCTGCTGGGAAAGGCCAGGTCAGGCCAGGTGATAGTCGCGTCGCGGCGGGTCAACCAGTTTCTGGCCAACCAGTTTTTGACCTCGCCCAGCTGCGCTTGGCTTATATAGTTCTGCCGGTTCAGTCAGTAGGCCTAATTGTGAGAGAGCGAGGGAGCTGCCTACGCCGCATCCACCGCCTCTGACGCCTCTTTTCATTACGTATACGCAGGGTTGCGCCAAATTTATGTCAACGAAAGCGAGACGCGAACTGGCACAATATTTACGCCTATGTGTTCTTATTTTCTAATTACTGTATACCCGGTGCTGTGGGTGTATCTGTAATTAGTGTTTCGCACACATATTCATATTAAAAGCCGGCATAGTCGCTGCTTAATAAATTAAACGACAATTTGCAATGGGCCCGAGCGGGCTGTTGCTCGTAAAGTGCTGTCGGATCTGGATGTGGAACAGGGACATTATGTTGGCATTAGACTTGCAATTAAAATAAAACGAAGCTCAAGTTTCAACAATATGCACTGGAACAGCGCCAGACACAATTTCGTGTTTTTTGAATGAGGCGCTTTCCCTTAAGATGCGTACTTGGGAGACACTGAAAATAATTTATGACCCACAAAAAGCTGGGAATTTATTTGCCGTAAACGTAGAACAATGCCGCGGTGCAAGGGACTCTTTTTCTAGAGCTTTTTCATAGTTAACGTTGTGACTTCTGACTTCTGATACTGAGGCTGCGGTGTCAATTTGCTGCGGCTTCTTCACGTTGATTAACGAGCAAAAACAATAATCCCTTTTAAGCTCTTTTTTTTTGATAAATAGTATCCGCCACTTAGCTGGCCAAATAATAATAATCAGCATCTGTCGTCGTTGCCGTTTGATTGTCAATACAAAATGTTTTTATCGCCAACACAATTTGCTAAACAAATTGGCCAACTCGGCGAAATTTGATTTGATTTATTCCTTTCAGCACTCTCAGCCAGCCAGGTTTTAAATATAGTTTTTTTATTTTTTATTTTTGTGAACCATAAGCTTTAGTTTAGTTTCAGTTTGGTTCGCTTTTGCGTTTGCAATAATTGATATCGGTTATTTGCATATTAAATTTAATATATTTGCATATATCTTCTTCTCTCTGACTCTTTTTTGGCGAACCGAAACCGTTTTGCGGCTAGCCAAAAGCATATTGTTATTTGTCGTGGTATGCGGAAATAAATTTGATAAAAATGGAATTCAGAGAAGAATAGAACAAGAGCGGACGGGTCGTAAAAGAGTTCTTAAAAGTCAGCAGCACAAACATTTTTGCAAAAGAAAGGAAAGAAGCAAACAAACCCGCTCGACCGGCATTTAACTTGCTAATTTCGCAGATAAAGCTTATGATTTAAGGAAATTACTAATGCTCCAATTTATGGTGAGGTGACAGATTCGATTGGATTTTGCACCTGAAAGACACCGCCCGGTTTTGACACCACCTATTCGGCAGGTGAATAAATTAAATGCACAATTTCATCGCCTGCGCTTATTGTATTTGCATCGGTGTCTCTATGTCGCTTTTTGTCCCAGAACAATGGTAATAAAATAATATAGGGGCACGCTTGTCGTTGTCCAGAAAAGTGAAGAAAAAAATCGAAAAAATAATAAACACTGACAGATTTTGTAAATAGATCGATTGACCCCAAAGGCAATTTGCATAAAGCGCCGCCACAAATTCCCCTCGGGTTTTCCGTCCGCCGGAGTCGCATTTTATTTATTTATTGATACGCCAACGTCGTCCGACCGCTATTATCTATCTCTGAACCCGAGCTGGAAATGCTTCTTGGCCGGGTTACACTGTAAATAATTACATTTTGACTTAACTTGGCTTAAACTAGCTTAATTAAAGGAAATTCGTGACTTTATCAATTGTAGAAAATGTGGTCTTGCTAGGATATATATAATATATAAAATATATTAGAGATATAAAGAGATTTAATAATAGGTGTACAAAAGATGTAGTTAAAACATTTGTCTAAGAAAACTATTAGCGATTTTAGTAGTCTCAGGATCTTTTTTAGTAAAAATTTAATTTAAAATCGCATAGCACCGCTCTTTTCTCACCGTGCATAGTGAGAGTTGGCCTGCCTTTTGACCATTTTTTATGTCGATGCTGCGTGCATCTTTTATGTGCGTGTGGCGCCCGAGACCTTGAAATTGTAGCTGGTTTGTTTTATTATGTTTACATTTGTTTAGTTTGCATATGACATTGCCACCAGCGACGGACGCGGTCTGAGATCTGGCCAACGGCCATTGGTCGATCGGCAACGGCCAAAAGGTGGGGCCGCATACAAAGCCAAGACAAATTGTTTTTGACTTTAGCTTATTGCCTCGAGTGCTGAATCTTGATTAGATTCTGCTTGGCCTGGTGGAAAAGTCAGGGACTAGGAGAGATAGAACACGAGATAGAGATTTGTGTGTGACATCACTGATAAAATGATTTTCAAAAGAAGCGGTGTGATATCACGGCCTGATTTGGTTATGATTTCCACTCTGACCCGATCTGGGAGTTACTCATCGCTATAGTTATCCGTGATATCAATCAAAATGTTAGTCATAACTACGACTGGCATTCGCTATAGATTCACTATTGATTTGCAAATCGGTGCGACTATCTTAAATATGGATCTTGGGTATTTCTGCGTCGGGGCTCTTTAATTATGCAAATCGAATCAGTTTTCAGCGAATTTGTTGCTGCTTCTGCCCGGGATGTTGGCGAAAAAAACAATAATTTTTATGATATCAATAAACCATGATGAAAAACGTGATAATCGCTGATCAGATTAAATGGTCGCCTGGCGCCAGCTGATTACCGCCGAATTCCGAATGGCTTCGGGTGCTGGCCAACAGTAAAAGCCTCAAGGTCGCAACGGTTGTTAACTTTATGGCTTCTATTTTGCGGATTCGAGCCGTGTTTTTAGCCACAGATGGACAGGTGGACCGACTGATAGATGGATGGATGGATGGTTGAATGAATGGCTGGGCAAAAAAGGCTGGCGAAAATTGATTTCTATCCATTTTGAAGCTATTGTTTCCCCAAACTCCGCCTCCATTAAGTGTAATCCGATGAGCGAATGGCCAAGCCCCACAGCGGACAGTTCAAAATAGCTTCATATATGCGTTAAACCGAATTCCAAAAAGGGGACGCAATAATCGATGGGAATTCCCGGTTAGAAATATGCGGCTGGACCCACTAAAAACTAAAAAGTGTAGAAAACCCACAGTCAACGTTGTCGTCGCGAACTTGTTTCAAAGTGTTTTAGCATATAAAATATGAAGAAAATCATTTCATTTACTGATAGCATGAGACCATTTCATAGTGTCGTTTTGGTTAAAACAAGTTTCCAGTTCCCAGCACCTAGAGCCTGGTTACACCTCGGCTCGCCCTCCGATGCACGGCACGATTTGCATAATGGCGACGCCGCCATTAGCCAGAATAGGGCGGCCAGACTGCGATGCGCTTTGTTTGCGACGCAAAGCCATTGTTTTACCAACATCGTCGGAGTAGCTCTTCGGCCGAAGGTGGATAACATTTCGAGAGACAAAAGCTGACGGCGGCGGCGACGAAGAAGAAGTTACTGAAAATCCGAGCAGAGCAGCAACAACAAATGGTGGTAAGTCTGCATGAACTTGAGCGCAGTCCAGTGACACCGATCGGTGGTTTTCGTATAAATATTGGACCTTTCGGTGATGCAAACGTCAGACACAGCCGAGTGCTCGAAGTCAAAGAACTAAATCCAAAATGCGTGCCTTCATTGTAAGTATACATCTGCGGAAAAGTGCCTCGAGGATACCAAGGATTACCACGTCGTTCGTTCCTCTTTCCTCTCCAGGTTATGTGCTTGGTGGCAGTCGCCTGCGCCGATAAGCTCGGCTACAACTACCAGCCCGTGGGTCACTCCGGCTCCGGCCTGTCCTTCACTCCTGGCGGTGGCTCAATCGGAGGTGGCTCTCTAGGAGGTGGCTCTCTGGGAGGTGGCTCTCTGGGAGGTGGCTCCATTGGAGGTGGCTCCATCGGAGGCGGCTCTATCGGCGGCAGCATCGGCAGCGGTGCCGGTCTTGGCAGCCTTGGCAGCCTTGGCGGTGGCAGCGACTCCCTGAGCGCCCCCGTCTCCTACAACGCCCCCGCCCCCGCCGCCGAACTGGAGAAGGAGTTCTTCACCTTCACCGCCAACGAGCAGGACTTCGATGAGCCCCAGCAGCTGGAGCGCGTCTCCTCCGCCCTGAACAAGGCCCTGCGCGTCGTCTTCATCAAGGGACCCGAGAACCGTGGCCTGGAGAACGCCGCTCTGGCTCTGGCCAAGCAGGCTGCCCAGCAGGAGACCGCCATCTATGTCCTGAACAAGCAGGCTGACATCGGAGATCTGGCCAGCAAGTTGAACGCCATCCGCAGCAACAACAACAACAAGCCCGAGGTCCACTTCGTCAAGTACCGCACCCAGGAGGATGCTGCCAACGCCCAGCGCGCCATCCAGTCGCAGTACGACCAGCTGGGAGGCTCCAGCCAGGCCGTCAACGGTGGTGTTGCCCCCGTCCTGAACTTCGCCTCCGCCGGTCCAGTGCGTCAGGCCACCGCCCAGTCGCCCGACAACTCCTACCTGCCCTCCTCCGTCTTCCGTCGCGTCTAAGTTGCTCGTTTTGACTCTTCACCGATTCAAAATCGCCAGCGATCTTTGACTGATTTCAAAAACCTAGTTATTGTTGACTATTGCTTAAATAAATTCAATTTTTAAATTTTATACATTTTGATGGAGAACATCATTAAGGGGGCATTGTGACTTCACCCCTCTTTCCAAAAGTTCAAGAAACTTTGGGGAAACTTATGACTCTGAAGTCAGAAAAAGGAGAAGCAAATTCTTATTTTTTAGGAGAAAATTGAAAATTTCAATTCAGCTAACTAAAATGCAAATAATATTAGCACATTTTCGGTAAAGAAAATAGTAGTTTCTTTGATGATTATTATTAAAGCTTGTGCCAATTATTCTCTTAGCTTTTGCTGATAGGTTAATAGTTTGGTTATAGGTAAATATCTATGTTTTTTGTTGATTTAAGTCTTTCAATTCAGCCTCAATTAATAATAGACATACATAGGTATTAATCATGGTATAATTATCAAACTAACCAAAAAACGTCAAAATATCTGAATTTAACGTGGGAAAAATTGAACATAATTTCTTTTTTGTTTCTTTTTGGGTCGTATTAGCGAGGGTTCCCCTAATTAATGCCATTTAATCATAATTCAGCATTTGTTATTTAAACTTTGATGATAAATGGTAGCTATAAAGTGATATATAAAACACAGTTTTGCTTCATAATATATTTTTTAAAATAATTAATACAGATTTAGGATCTTCTATTGACTTAAATAAGTTAAATAATATGATTTAGAAAAGCAGTCTAGGTACTGCAATTCAGACCCTGCAGTTTTCCAATAGTAAGAACAATATGTAACCTTTTTTTTTTTTTAAATAACCAAAAATCTACTAAGTTTTATTCGAAAACAATGGAAAAGGATAACAAGAAACTCTAATGACGCAGACGCTTCAGGATGGAGGCGGGCAAGTAGTCGCTTTGCGGTGCCTGCGGCTGAGCCTGCTGGTGAGCGGCACGGAAAGGAGCCAGTCCCTTGGAGGCAAAGTTGATGGCGTTGGCCACGCCTCCGTTGATGTTCTGGCTGGTGCCGCCCAGCTGATCGTATTGAGACTGAATGGCCTTTTGGGCATTGGCCGCATCCTCTGGCGTGCGGTACTTGACGAAGTGCACCTCCGGCTTCTGGTTGGCGTTCTGGCGGACGGCGTTGAACTTCTGGGCCAGTTCGTTGATGTCGGTCTGCTTGTGCAGCACATAGATGGCGGTCTGCTGTTGGGCAGCCTGCTTGGCCAGGGCCAGGACGGCGTTTTCGTAGCCACGGTTTTCCGGCGACTTGATGAAGATCACACGAACGCTCTTCTTCACTGAGGCGAGGGCTTTGCGCACGGCATCGTGATCCTCGAAGTCGGCATCATTGGCGTAGAAGGTGTAGAACTCCTTGTGCACCTGAGACTGGGGAGCGGCACTGTAGCTGACCGGTCCGGCTAGGCCACCACCACTGCTAACTCCGCCTCCTCCTCCTCCACCGCCAGAGATGGTGGCTCCAGAGCCTTGGGCGTAATTGTAGCCGGACAAACGACCGGCACTGGCCGCGGCCACAAGGCATAGAATGAGAAAAGCACGCATACTGGCTACTGGCCTACTGCTAACAAAGTATTCTAGAAGAATGCTGGCCAAATCTGCATTAACTAGCTTTTATACCGCCAACGCAGACTCTTGAAATTAGACTAGAAAATCTGGTCGAATTGAGACGGAGCTTGAGCTGGAGTCCCCCCGGCGGCGGCAATCATCGATCTCCGCTCTCGGATCGTGAATCGTGAATGGCCAGTGGCCATCGGACATCGGCCATCGGGTTTTCGGAATGCTGTTAATCTGCTAACATAATTTCGCTCTTAACACATTTAACACATTGTTTTGAGCAGAGCTTCAGCTTCAATCACGCCGACTTTGGCGACTTTGAGATCAGAGTTTCCGAAACCGAGACCGAGTGCGATCCGCATCCGAATGCGAGTCCAAGCCGAGTGCGAGTCCAGTCGTGATTCACCCATAATTGGCTTATAATTTATGCAGACGTCCAAGCTCCGAGCTGCGAGCTCGACTTTTGCAATCCGAGTGTTTTGTTATATTGACTTGAATATGTATACAGAACCGCTTATTTGTTAATGATTTCAACAAAAAAGTGATCGTCAGCTTAATAAAATTAATGATTAGATTTTCGTTTTTATGGCTAATCAGGTTTCGATGGGACATAAATCTTATTTGTCCCCGCATTTGGGTTGCACTTGAGATTCCTTTCTAATTGTACGTGACACACGACCGGGGCCAGCTCGGAAACCAGGTCACCTAACTGTGCCCATCAGCCCCGGCGGCCTTGAGCTGTCGCCGGGAGAGAACCAGTCCGGCAGTACGCGATATTAATGATTCTTGAGCTCTAAGTGGGTGGATCTAATCTTGTAGCCAATTAATTTGGCAGCAAAAGCATCGGGCTCAGTTCGGCAGACAATTAGTCCATTGATTTGTATTGGCATGCGGCGGATGAGCGCTTAAAGCCCGATCGTAAAGGAAACCTGCCCCAATCTATTCTCGTTCAAGCTGCCTTCCTTATCTCGATATTTTGGCGATAAACTGCGATAGGCGAGATATTTATAGTTTGAAGGGCACTGTTTATATTTAACCCATCCGCAAACAAGCTACCCAAGGCGGTTTTAATGCACCATTAACTTCTATGGCGAGAGCATCATAAAAACGCCACTCTACAAACTCATAAAGGGGGCTTTGTTCGGATTTCGATTTTAAAATTCAAATTTATTGGTGTAATTATGCATTAGTCAACAAGGGGGGTAACAGGAGGATGGGGTTCTTCAGTCGAGATTCGCTAAGGCGAATCGAGTCCAGCCTTTGGCCGCTCTAGAAGCGCAGGCGACGGAACACCGAGGTGGGCAGGTAGGCGTTATCCGGGATCTGAGCCTGGGCCTTCTGCACGGGACCGGCAGAGGCGAAGTTCAGAGCCTTGGCCACACCACCATCATGGGCCTGGGAGGATCCTCCCAGCTGGTCGTATTGTCCCTGGATGGCGCGCTGGGCGTTGGCAGCATCCTCCTGGGTGCGGTACTTGACGAAATGCACCTCGGGCTTGTTGTTGTTGTTGCTGCGGATGGCGTTCAGCTTGCTGGCCAGATCTCCGATGTCAGCCTGCTTGTTCAGGACATAGATGGCGGTCTCCTGCTGGGCAGCCTGCTTGGCCAGAGCAAGGGCAGCGTTCTCCAGGCCACGGTTCTCGGGTCCCTTGATGAAGACGACACGGAGTCCCTTGTTCACAGATCCAGCGACGCGCTCCAACTCTTGGGGCTCATCAAAGTCCTGCTCGTTGGCGGAGAAGGTGAAGAACTCCTTCTCGAGTTCACCGGTGGCAGCGGGGGCTTGGTAGGAGACGGGGGCGCTCAAGGAATCACCACCACCCAGACCGCTCAGACCACCAAGGCCAGAGTCTAGACCACCACCAATGCTTCCACCTCCGATAGAACCACCTCCCAGAGAGCCACCTCCCAGGGAGCCACCTCCTAGGCTTCCTCCTCCAATGGAGCCACCTCCAATGCTTCCGCTTCCAGGAGCAAAGGACAAGCCGGAGCTGGAGTGGCCCACCGGCTGGTAGTTGTAGCCGAGCTTATCGGCGCAAGCGACTGCCACCAAGCAGAGAACCTATGGCGTTCATGGGAAAAATTGTGATGAGTGTTATCCTGGTTAGTCCTTGCAGTCCTGGGCCGATATACTTACGATAAAGGCGCGCATCTTGAGCTTATTGGGTTCTTTCGATCTGAGGCATCAACTGCTTCTGTCTCTGCTGGGAGCGATCTTTATTATTTATACAAATCCATCTTGGAGGCTGATAAAGACAAAAAAAGCGCCGTGGCGTCTTCGCTGCACGAAAATCGCTTTGATGCCACTGTGTTTTGCCGCCTACAAAGGTTGTTGGGGCTTCTCCGGCTCTTTATGTTATGTTATGGAATTTTTCGGCTGGCTTTCAATGGGCAGTGGACGACCAGTCGCCGTGGGTTATTCAAATATTCGAGTTTCTTGCAATATTTTACAAGAATTCATATAAAATTATAAAATTAATATGTCGCGAGCACGGCGGAATGAGTTTATCATGCAGATGGGTCATAATTAGGTAATATATAAAATATATATATTTCTCACAAATTCTTCGGCAAGGCGAGCAGCTTGTTATCTGTGGGACGACTGCACTTGGGTTTTCCAACTCAACGGCAATCGTTTAGTTATCATAATCGTTGTCGACACATATGCTTAGTTCTGATTTATGGCCGTGATTCAAGCGCTATAATTAGCGGTTCATCTAATGAGGTGTTTGAAATGCCGCCCCCGCATAGCTTTTTATAATTTTCTTAACTTGTTCAATGCTAAAAATAACACTGTTTTTATATCTAAATTTTGTTTTTATTTTATAATTTAATTTGTGCCTACACTTCAATAATGCGGAAGTATTAAATATTTCTATTGATCTGGTAATGTGTTCATTTGTATATTTAATAAATACAAATTCAAAACATGATATAAATGAGTAAAACAATTGCAGATAAGTCGATTACAGATCACCTTTTTTGAAAAATAATCATAAATTCAGGAATAACAGATCTTAAGCTAAGCAAAGGAATTTTAAAAATTTAACATAGCCTACATTTGGGAGCTTAGTAGGAAGACAATTCGTATACATCATTTCCTTAATTTAAAAAAATTATTGAGAAGAAGAGTAATTTGTTAGGTCAGTTTAAAGAATATACATTTAGTTAATGACTTGGTTTATCAGATGGAACCTTTTCAACTTTGTACACATAGAGCACATATGTCCAACTAGCAAAGCAAGTAAGAAATATACATTCAAAAGATTCTTTTGGGAATCTGATATCTCCGCTGCTAAAAAATTATCCCAAAAAATCATTTCCAACATAAAAGTTAGGTTTTAAATGTTTTTATATTATTTATCAATAGGTTTCAACAACAAGTTTTAACAAGGACGGGACACGGCTGTATTGCAAAGTCATTAGGAACTCTTTACAGGCGACGACGGAAGACCGAAGTGGGCAGGTAGGCGTTCTCGGGGATCTGGGCGTTAGCCCTCTGGACGGGACCGGCAGAGGCGAAGTTCAGAGCCTTGGCCACACCACCATCATGAGCCTGAGAGGATCCTCCGAGCTGGTCGTATTGTCCCTGGATGGCGCGCTGGGCGTTGGCAGCGTCCTCCTGGGTGCGGTACTTGACGAAATGCACCTCGGGCTTGTTGTTGTTGTTGCTGCGGATGGCGTTCAGCTTGCTGGCCAGATCTCCGATGTCAGCCTGCTTGTTCAGGACATAGATGGCGGTCTCCTGCTGGGCAGCCTGCTTGGCCAGAGCCAGAGCGGCGTTCTCCAGGCCACGGTTCTCGGGTCCCTTGATGAAGACAACACGCAGTCCCTTGTTTACAGATCCAGCGACGCGCTCCAACTCCTGGGGCTCATCAAAGTCCTGCTCGTTGGCGGAGAAGGTGAAGAACTCCTTCTCGAGCTCACCGGTGGCAGCAGGTGCTTGGTAGGAGACGGGGGCGCTCAAGGAATCACCACCACCCAGACCGCTCAGACCACCAAGGCCAGAGTCTAGACCACCGCCAATGCTTCCTCCTCCGATAGAACCACCTCCCAGGGAGCCACCTCCCAGGGAGCCACCTCCCAGGGAGCCACCTCCCAGAGAGCCACCTCCCAGAGAGCCACCTCCTAGGCTTCCTCCTCCCAGAGAGCCACCTCCTAGGCTTCCTCCTCCAATGGAACCACCTCCAATGCTTCCGCTACCAGGAGCAAAGGACAGGCCGGAGCTGGAGTGGCCCACGGGCTGGTAGTTGTAGCCGAGTTTATCGGCGCAGGCGACTGCCACCAGGCACATTACCTATAGGAATCGAAATGAAGGGTTGTTATCCGTTAGCTATGGTCGCTGGGCAGAGAATCCTGGCTGGGTCACTTACGATGAAGGCGCGCATCTTTAGTTTTGAGGTTCTCTTGGTTCGGAGCTGAGATTGCTTCTGCCAGTGACCGCTGCGACGGGTATCATTTATACGCATCGGACCTCGAGGCTGTCGGCGCAGCTTCTCGTAGACAAAGCGGTGACGCAGCTAAATGTTTTTTCCGCCTACAAAGTAGGCAGCGATCGGCTTTTGTTCGCGCTCGCAGGCACTTCAGCTTTGCATAAATGTTATTATAAGGAAAAACGATAAAGCCGCACAACATGAGCATAAAAATGCAATAATAGGCCAGGCCAGAGATGGAATTACATATGGATTTTCGTTTTTATTCAATTACAAATTCTACAACACATTAACAACAGTCAGTGCCAGGTGGGGGTCCTTAGCGGATGCGCAGACGGCGCAGGATGTTTGCGGGCAGGTACGCGTTGCTGGTGGCAGCAGCGGGCGCCGAGTAGTTGGGACCGTAACGGGCGGGTGCCGCCGGGGCAGCGGAAGCGAAGTTGATGGCGTTGGCCACACCTCCGTGGATGTTCTGGCTGGAGCCGCCCAGGTTGTCGTACTGCGACTGGATGGCACGCTGGGCATTGGCAGCGTCCTCGGGAGTACGGTACTTGACGAAGTGCACCTCAGGGCGCTGGTTGGAGTTCTGGCGGGCGGCGTTGAACTTCTGGGCAAGATCTCCGATGTCGGTCTGCTTGTTCAGGACATAGATGGCGGTCTTCTGCTCGGCAGCCTGCTTGGCCAGAGCCAGGGCGGCGTTCTCCAGGCCACGGTTCTCGGGTCCCTTGATGAAGACAACGCGCAGACCCTTGCTAACAGAACCGGCGATCTTCTGGTCGGCCAGAGGATCATCGAACTGGCTCTCATCAGCCTCGAAGGTGTAGAACTCCTTGTTCAGCTCGGCGGAGGGCGTGTAGCTGCTTCCTGGGCTGCTGCCAGCTGCGTCGTAGTCACCGGCTCCTCCACCGACGCCACCAGCGAAGCTGGGAACATTGTCGGAGGCGGCACCAACTCCGGCTCCATAGTTGTACTGGGCGCAGGCGGCACCAATCAGGCAGAAAGCGATGAGGAAACGCATTTTGAAGGTACTAAGTGTGCTGAACAGGCAAAGGCCAAGACTGAATCCTGAGGCTGTGGCGCGCAGCTTTTATACCCTGTTAGAACGGCCTCAGAACAATGGCCAACAGCGAACACCATTCCCGTCGGGTTGCTCCATAACTCAACTAGTTTTTTATGCAAAGCGGTGCGCTTATGAAATGATTATGCAAAACTATCCCAACACTCCATCCAGTTGGCCAAATCCACCCAGTCGGCGACCCCTAGCTCAGACTTTCTGCCCAATTGCAGACGCGTTCTGGGGACCGGTTCGAGATGAGGCGCCGCCGCCGCGCTCTACACTTGACCGGGCCAAAAACTGCCCCGGAATTCGACTGGGGAAAATGCTGCAGAACTATCAGGGAACCCGTTTCCCCGAAAAATAAAAAAAAGCGAAAGAGCCGCCATAAATGTTCTGACGGTCGTTAAAACCTAGCACAATGTGATGCATTCTTGGAGTTCCGCCTACGAATCGATAAAAGCTTAATCTATGCATACTCTTATGCTGATTTCATTGATAGTTTATGAATTCTCTCAGCTCGGTTGCTTTGGCTATTGTCGCCATCGAAAGTGGATGTTTAGAATTTAAAGCAACTTTTTAGTTTTGGGTTCAAAGTCAAGAGGAATGTCGGACGTTTTCTTTGAACTCCAAAGAAACCTGTTTTAAATGGCTGGGAATTCCCAGCTAATCCTCTATATAAGCAAAAGACAGCATCTGGAAGCGTCAGTATGGAGAGGTCTCCCGACGATGGAGATGTCCACTTGGGACACCTAAAAGAACTTAATAATACAATTTTTACTGATGAAAATATAGGTAGTATGTATATACCATATATCATGTATTGCCTATGAAAGCATATTTAAAAATAAATTGTTTTTGTCAGATCGAGGCCGAAATAGGCTGGTTTTTATGGACAGAGTCAAAAAATAATAGTGCTGGTGTCATAATGATTGAATAATGACACCTGCAAAATTAGGTTTAAATATTATTATTTATGAATTATGCATACGAAATATTTTGAATCCAACTGGTATAAATAATAATAACAAATCAATAGATAATTTTTATGAAATATAAAATGCAAAAAATATAAAAAGCAACAAAACTATACTATATACTATCCTTGAAAAGAAAATATTACATTTTTATTTAACATATTTATTTATTAATAACTTAAATATTAACGCAAATTAGTTTGCAAAATATATTTTGAATTAATTATTTCAGCTTTTAAAGTTTACTTTAAACCGAAAAGTAAGTTAATTTGATCTTGATTTGTTGTGAAGCTATTTTTGTCATAACAAGTTCAACCACTTTAAGATAATGTTTCTATACTTTATTTATACATAATTTTTATGAAATTTATATACTCATAAAAACTATAATTAGAATCATATGACATTATGTGTATTTCTGGGAATTGTTGATTTACATTTACAATTCGAATATTATTATTCTTGTTCGTAAATAAGATTCTAATAAAAGAGATTCTAATAATAAAAATTAACAATTAAATAAGAGACGTCGCTCAACAATATCAATATCAATATCTGTGTTATGTTTATACTAAAAAAATATGTAACTATTATTTGTTTAAAATTTGGTTAGTTTTCTTAAGAGCTTGATAAATTAAATGGTTTTTCGGTTTTGAGGACAAAGAATTAAACCCTTCATATAATAATGATACTATTATATTAATTATTATAAATACTGTAAAATGAAAAGGCTTTAGTTTCCTGCCAATTTCATCGAGTTAAAAGATGCCTTGATAACCGCTATATCAATTTCCCTTTCATATTATATTAATTACCTTTAAATATAATAATAATTAAGAACTCAATGTAAATAAGTACAAATGTGATAATTTTTCAGATTTTGTTTTATTTTACAATAAGTCAACAGGATAACTAGACAACAAATCAAAACCAAATCCTTTGCGCTTAGAGACGGAAGCGACGGAAGATGTTGGCGGGCAGGTAGCTGGGTCCGGGAGCACTGGCAGCCGGAGCATGGGCGGGAGCTGGCTGCGAGGCAAAGTTCAGGGAGGAGGCCACGCCGCCATCGTGCGACTGGGAGGATCCTCCCAGCTGGTCGTACTGACCCTGGATGGCCCGCTGCGCGTTGGCAGCATCCTCGGGAGTGCGGTACTTGACGAAGTGCACCTCGGGCTTGTTGTTGTTGTTGTTGCGAATAGCATTCAGTTTGCCGGCCAGATCTCCGATGTCAGCCTGCTTGTTCAGGACATAGATGGCGGTCTCCTGCTGGGCAGCCTGCTTGGCCAGAGCCAGGGCGGCGTTCTCCAGTCCCTTGTTCTCGGGTCCCTTGATGAAGACAACGCGCAGAGCCTTGTTCAGAGCGCTTTGTACCTGCTCGGAGGCAGCCGGATCGTAGAAGTCTCCCTCGTCGGCGGTGTAGGTGAAGAACTCCTTCTGGAGCTCGGCCTGGGGAGCAGCGTAGTTGGGAGCAGAGACAGACTGAGCGCCCTCAGGGGCACCGATGGATTCAGCAATGGAAGCGCCCGGGCCAGCGGCAAACAATCCAGGACCAGATGAAGATGAGGAAGGACCAGCGGCAAAGGCTGGAGCATCGTTGCTGGCCAATCCAGAGGGCTGGAAGCTAAGTCCCGAGGGGGAATGGGCCACCGGCTGGTAGTTGTAGCCCAGTTTGTCGGCTGTGGCGACGGCGATGAGGCAGAGGACCAGGAAGGATCGCATGTTGGCTTGTTGGGGTGCAGAGATGATTTGTTACTGTCTCAACGAATCGCTGACTTGGCTTTTATAGGTGCAAGATTCAGTTCTTCGGCAAAGACTGCATTATGATTCGCTATATATGAATTATGAAGAGTTCACATTTGCCTTAAAAATGCATAAATAACCGATTAAAATGCGGCTCGCTATTATATATTTTTACGATTCGTCACAGTGCTGCTGCGGTTGCAAATCTTTGCATGGCTTTGCACATAAAACCCTGTTTGGTGGCTCCGCAAAAAGCTCAATGCAAATTAGACGAAGCCCCGGCCAGAATCGGCCAGTTTGCGAGCTTTTGGTTATAATTTAGAGGGTTCGGCTTGGAGTCCGACTCGGATTGCCAAATCAGATGGCGCCAAGTAATTTATTAAGAGCCCAATTATCGAATTATCTGATTCGGCGCTGACAAGGCGCAGCAGTGCAGTTGTTAATTAGCCATCGGCCCAAAGATGGCGTCGCAAGATGGCGGCTATATTTAGCGATGAGTGCGCTGCGCCGCGGCAAAGCACTTCCGGCGGACGAGCGGAAGGTCGCCCGCCACCACCCGCATAATTTGCATAAAGCAGAAATCACAGATATCTCAGAAACCACAGCGCGACCGAGAGACAAGTCGACAAAACAAAGCCGCTGAATAAGGCAATAATAATTTGGCGAATCGTTAAAATATTTATTTTTGGCAGCAGCATCGACAGTAACGCGACTAGGCGCGCCTCATTTGCATGTGAAACGGCCTGTCAAACGTTTTGTTTGCTCTGCGATCCGGCCGATTTGGGCGACACATCTCCGCATCCCGGCCGGATTCGGACATAGCTCCGTGCTCACCTCAGGCCCGGGCATCCAGAGCGATTGCCCCGAATGGGGCTTAACGATGCTCGGGCCATGTCCACGGCTTTTTATAGCCACATTTTTATTGATTTCAACGATAAAGCTACATGAAAATTCCAAATTGGCAAGGTTGGCTCTGGTTTTGCTCGCAGAACAGCGAGAATTATTGATTAAGGCAGCATATTGAATTTGATATGAGTTTTATGGCGGACATGGTCGCCTTCCTTCCTAGCCAAAGTCGAGTGGCTTGCAGTCCGCCGGCTGCATATTTTAGCCTCAGAACGAGAACGAAAATGAAAACGAGAGCATGAGGTTGGCGGCGGGTGGCGGGCATAATTAGACCGCGTTATGCAGAGCGCTTTGCATAACGGCAAAGGCTCCGCAAGGCGGCTTCTATCTGCATAAAAGCCGCATCGGCACCTGGCTAAAGCATCACATTCCCCAGCCAGCTCCCCCACTCAACAACATGCGCCAATTCTCGGTAATCCTTTGCCTGTGCCTCGCTGTCCTGGCCAGTGCCGACAAGCTGGGCTACAACTACCAGCCGGTGGCCCACTCGGCGTCGGGTCTCAGCTTCCAGCCCTCGGGACTGGCCAGCAACGATGCTCCAGCCTTTGCAGCTGGTCCATCCTCATCTGCATCTGGTCCTGGATTGTTTGCCGCTGGGCCGGGCGCTTCCATTGCTGAATCCATCGGTGCCCCTGAGGGCGCTCAGTCTGTCTCTGCTCCCAACTACGCTGCTCCCCAGGCCGAGCTCCAGAAGGAGTTCTTCACCTACACCGCCGACGAGGGAGACTTCTACGACCCCGCTGCCTCTGAGCAGGTACAAAGCGCTCTGAACAAGGCTCTGCGCGTTGTCTTCATCAAGGGACCCGAGAACAAGGGACTGGAGAACGCCGCCCTGGCTCTGGCCAAGCAGGCTGCCCAGCAGGAGACCGCCATCTATGTCCTGAACAAGCAGGCTGACATCGGAGATCTGGCCGGCAAACTGAATGCCATTCGCAACAACAACAACAACAAGCCCGAGGTGCACTTCGTCAAGTACCGCACTCCCGAGGATGCTGCCAACGCCCAGCGTGCCATCCAGGGTCAGTACGACCAGCTGGGAGGATCCTCCCAGTCGCACGATGGCGGCGTGGCCTCCTCCCTGAACTTTGCCTCGCAGCCAGCTCCCGCCCAGGTTCATCACGAGGCCACCGCTCCCATCTCCTCGTATGTGCCACCAGCGACTCCTGGCAGCTCGTACCTGCCCGCCAACATTCTGCGCCGCCTGCGGTTCTAAGGCCCTTTAGAGCTATATCCATTCCATCGTTATTGTTGAGATTTTTAATACGAAATAAATGTTGTTTTTTAATGTAAATTGTCCAATGGCTTGCGGATCTTCTTTTTTCACATTCCTAGGCTTAGCAGATATCTACGACATCGATTTGAATTGGATTTCCGAGCTTCGGAATTTTCGCATAAGTTTGCGAGTTTTGGTTGGTAAACGGGTTCTCCGTCCCGCGCTGACTTATGAGTCCGTAGCCGGCCGAGATATTTGTGAAAATTGCAAATGAGCGGAAACCTAAGATGTTTCCTCTGCCGCCGATACGGTCTGACGTATAACATATGGCTTAGCGGCTACTTGGCGCCCACGGATCGATCGCGATTGAGATGGCTCCGAGCGGCTTGACAAATTGCACTGGACAGCCGACAATGCCCAAAGCCAAATCCATTGGCCGGGCAATTTAAAACTATTAGGCTGGGAAATTAGCCCACAACGACTGGCCAAAGTCGGAGTCCGACTTGGGTCTTACTTTCAATCATCCCCGGTGCGATTTGCATAACAAAATGGGCGAACAAAAGAACTCGGCTACTGCACAGTCGGACAATTTGGAGCTGCTGGCCCTTTGTCCCCTGATTAGCATAAAAATTTTGTTTGTCCGCAAAGCTGCAAGTTCATCAAATTTTAATCAACGCCGCCGCCGCAGCCGCCGCCGCCGCCTCTGACTTGACTTCTGATTCGGCCGGGCCAAGAGCCATAGCCATAGCCAGAGTCAGCCTCCGCCAGCGCGGAAAAAGAAAAACAGAGAAACAGGTTAGGCCCAGACAATGCGAACCTTATCGCGATCTCCAGCACGCTGTCACTGTCGTCAGCGTCCGTTCTGATTGAAGCCCATATCGAACCGGGCCATATAAATGCCCCCGCGGCTCTAGCCGACATCATTCTGACTTCCGACTCCGGAGCTCCAACTAGAACAGCAAACAGCACCAGTACATCCCTAGCAAGATGCGCGCCTTCATCGTCCTTTGCCTCGTGGCGGTCGCCTGCGCCGACAAGCTCGGCTATAACTACAAGCCCGTGGGCCACTCCAACTCCGGCCTGTCCTTCGCTCCTGGCAGCGGCAGCAGCGGCTCCTTGAGCCTGGGAGGCGGCGGCGGTTCCCTTGGTCTGGGAGGCGGCAGCGGATCCTTGGGCCTGGGTGGCGGCAGCAACTTCGGCAGCCTGGACAGCGGTCTGGGTGGCGGCCTCGGCGGTGGCTCCATCGATTTCGGATCCTCTGGACTCGGATCTGCTGGTCTTGGCTCTTCTGGTCTAGGCTCTGCTGGTCTTGGCTCTGCTGGACTCAGCGCCCCCGTCTCCTACCAGGCCCCTGCTGCCACTGGTGAGCTCGAGAAGGAGTTCTTCACCTTCACCGCCAACGAGGAGGACTTCGACCAACCCCAGGAACTCGAGCGTGTTGCCAGCTCCGTGAACAAGGGTCTGCGCGTTGTCTTCATCAAGGGACCGGAGAACCGTGGCCTGGAGAACGCTGCCCTGGCTCTGGCCAAGCAGGCTGCCCAGCAAGAGACCGCCATCTATGTCCTGAACAAGCAGACCGACATCGGAGATCTGGCCAGCAAGCTGAACGCCATCCGTAGCAACACCAACAACAAGCCCGAGGTGCACTTCGTCAAGTACCGCACTCCCGAGGATGCTGCCAACGCCCAGCGTGCCATCCAGTCGCAGTACGACCAGCTGGGAGGATCCTCTCAGGCTCATGATGGTGGTGTTGCCAACGCCCTGAACTTCGCCTCCGCCGGACCAGTGCGTCAGGCCCAGGCCCAGATCCCCGAGAACTCGTACCTGCCCTCGTCGGTGCTGCGTCGTCTGCGCTTCCGTCGTCGCTAAGCTGAGTGCCATAGCTCCTGTAGCTTCTATGGCTTCCACAGCCACAGCAACAACCCCACTGCCATATGACATTTGTTGACTTTTGTGTTATCTATTGATTTGTCGAAAAGAACCTCAAATACAGTTCTATTTTTTAAACCAAATATGTGGCTATTTTTCTCCTGGGTGTGTGGGAACGGGCTACATATTGAGTTGTCAGTGTTTCCTCGCAGCTGGCTGGTGAAAAATTGCACAGCTCGGCGTTTATTACAGGCCCGAGAGTGGCCATAAAAATTCCAAAGCGACGGCGCCAAATGGAATACAAGTGGAAATCAATAAAAAATTTACATGTCTTGGGACGAAACGTTTTTTTATCATAATTAAAATGTTAATCTGCGTGAAGTAAAAGGTTAGACAAACTATTAGCGGCAAAATTTATGGCAACTGCAAGACGGAACCGAGAAGCCGCAGATGCTGCATAATGCATGAGTGATAACAGAGTGGAGTTGGCCAGATGAATGGCCAATAACAATGAGCCAAAGTAGTCAACGACAGCTCTTTTTTCAAGAGCACCCACTACGGCGATTAGCATAAGCAGAAAACTCGACGGTTGAGAAAAATCATAAAAAATATAGATAAATAAATAAATACAACATAACTTAAATACAAAATCCAAACTCCAATACCGATTTTGCCACAGATATTAGCAACAAAATGTCGAGTAAAACAAATGGCGACAAAAGCGAAGGGGAATTGGCGAAGCTGATGAGGGAATTGCTCGAAATGAGGTGCAAAATCAAAGACAACCAATTAAGAAACCAAATTAAGCAAAAAGAAAAAGAGTTGCAGGCTGCAGCGATTTCGCATAAAAGTCGTGGGCGTCGTGGAGTTGGACATACTTGCCTTCGATCCAGCAATCCAAGCGGAGTTATCCACCTACACACAAACCAGCCAAGATGCGCGTCCTTATTGTGAGTACTTCGAGAATAATCCAAGGATCAACTCACTAAATCTAAATTATTTCTCTCTCAGGCCCTTTGCTTCGTTGCCGTTGCCAGTGCCGCTTCCTTCGGCGGAGGCTACAACTACCAGCCCGCTGCCACCGCTCCTGCGGCCGCCTCCTTCGCCCCGGCAGGACCTGCCTACAGCCCCTCAGTGGCTGCCAGCCAGGATCAGCCCGCCTACAATGCCCCTGCCGAGCAGAGCTTCGCCCCGGCTGCCGTCGTTGAGGCCGCTCCCTCTGGCGAGGCTCCTCACTACGCCGCTCCCCAGGCTGAGCTTCAGAAGGAGTTCTTCACATACACCGCCGACGACAGCGCCTTCAACGAACCCGCCGGCTCCGAGCAGGTCCAGAGCTCTCTGAACAAGGCTCTCCGTGTGATCTTCATCAAGGGACCCGAGAACAGCGGTCTGGAGAACGCTGCCGTGGCTCTGGCTAAGCAGGCTGGACAGCAGGAGACCGCCATCTATGTCCTGAACAAGCAGGCTGACATCGGGGATCTGAGCAACAAGTTGAATGCCATCCGCAACAATAACAACAACAAGCCCGAGGTGCACTTCGTCAAGTACCGCACCCAGCAGGATGCTGCCAACGCTCAGCAGGCTATCCAGTCCCAGTACGACCAGTTGGGAGGATCCTCGACCCACCAGAACGGAGGCGTGGCTCCCGTCCTGAACTTTGCCTCTCAGCCCGCTGCTCGTGAGGTGGCCGCTCCCTCGGCTCCTGGCAGCTCCTACCTGCCCGCCTCCGTGCTTCGATTCCGCCAGTAAGACGGGAAAGAGCGCCTCATTGACCTTCGAAACTCAGACTCAGACTGACCCGTCACACCGACGATTCCTACGCATTCGCTGCGACCTGTTGCCTAGTTTGTAAACATTGCGAATTTCGAATTATTCCCAAATAAAAATAAAGTTAATCGTTAATATAAAGGAAAAAGTGTTGTAATCTTTGGGAGCTCGCTAATTTTGTAACAGATTCAGGTCGACATTGAACTAGTTGCCCTAAAAGGCGGGACACTCGCCCGATTTGGTTACCTGAGTTCGCCGGTTGAAATTATAAAATGCTTTGCCCGCCGGAGATCGTCTAACAAATGTTTTTTGCTCTTCGCCGTGATTATATCATGCTGGGAATTGTGGTAAGTCTACCTGGAGGCTAATAACAAGGTCTTTGGCTTATGCTAATGGAGTGCTTGTCTCCAGTTTCTCGCCTTGCTGGCCGGCAGTTCCGCGGAACTAGGTTACCAGTATCAGCAGAACAGCTATGGAGGATCTGTGGATAACCAAGCCGAGTATCCGACCCAGCCAAACGATCACTACCAGGAGCACCACGACTTCCACAAGCATTTCTATGCCTTCGAAGCGCCCTACGACTCCTCCGAGGAGGCTGACCTGGTGGAGACCAAGCTGGCAAGTCTCTCCCAGAAGAACCTGCAGGTGGTGTTCATCAAGGCTCCGGAAAATAAGGCCGTGGTGGGAGCCCTCAACGCATTGGCCAAGCAGACCACGGAGGACAAAACGGCTATCTATGTGCTAAACAAGCAGACGGATGCCCACGAATTGGCAAGCGAACTCAGCTCCTTGAAGGCGCAGCATAAGCACAAGCCACAGGTTCATTTTGTTAAATACAGGACGGAGGCGGAGGCTGCCCAGGCCCAGCAGCACATTCAGGCGCAGTACGGCGGAGCGGGAGCGGTGTCCCAGCCGGGACAGGCCTCCTCCTTGGGCTACTACCCGGAGCAGCAGCCGCAGTACGATCAGGGATACTATCCGGAGTCATCTCAGCGTCCCGGCGAGTATCCAGTTCCCTCAAATGGCTATCTGCCGCCACCCTCTCCGCCATCGTCTGGCTATCTGCCGCCAGTGCCCAGTTACTCCTCCATTGCCCAGGGCTACAGTGCATCTGGAGGAGCACTGGCGGGGCAAATAGATCTGCCTCCAGTGCCTGAGGCCCAGCAAGATCTCTCCGCCAGCTATAACGATGGTGGTCAGGATTACCGGTCGGCCAGGTCGCAGCGTATAGATTTCAAGGTCAACGAGCGACGAAGGTCGGGCAGCCGCATGGTCTTTCCTACCTCCAGGCCTTACCTGCCCTCACCTGTGCAAGCAAAGCGACGACGACTCTGACTCTGTGAGTCCAAATTAAGACATTAAATTAGTGCCATAAGACTGCGCCCCCGGGTGTGACTAGTTGTAGCTGCCAATAAAGCCGAGAGAGATACATCAATGAATGGCCACCAGTGTTTGCCCTATGTTCATCCTCATCAGCCGGAGTTGTGAACGGCGCTAAGCGGCTTATCGCAGATGCGAGCCGAGGGCTAGAGCAGATCTAAGCCCGGCTCAGAGTGACGTGTAAATTAACAAATCAGTAGCCATAAAACGTCGGCCGTAAAAATTCCGGGGGCGAGTGAAAGTGGAGCTAATCGCGTTGGAAGTCACAATACATGGCACGCCACAATGGGAGAGAGACCCAAAGGGGCATATGAAAATATTTGATAACTAATTCAAATTGGGAGCTCATTTGTAAATTTTATGCGAATTAAATTCAAGTTCAAGCTGGGTCACTGTCTTTGTCTTGGGCTCTTGCAAGCCCAGAAATTAGCATTTCAAAATTGAACGACATTAACATGGATAATCGGAGCAGGCAAACACAAAACCAGAGCAAACGTTTGCAGAAATCTTTTATAAGTTCGTAAAAAAAAAAAACAAAGACACAAATGCCAAAAAGCAGAAGAAATACTAAAAAAAGATATAAAAAATAAAATAAAATCATAACGAGACAGAGAGTCAGCTTACTTTCGAACGGCTATTTGTTTGTGTCGTATATAAGGATGGTTTTGTTGCTGGGACTGGATTATAACCGATCCGAGCTTCGTGCCTAAAAGTCGAGCTGCTGCGGCATAAACCCAGCTATGCACTCCATCTCCTTCTTGGTTAGTTGGAACCACTGACTCCTGGACATTAAAATTTCTAATTTACCTTGGTTTCTTTCTCAGTTTTTCGGGCTTTTCCTCGGCACAAGCCATGCCCTAGGGGATGTCTATTTACCAGCTGTCCAGAGAGCTAAACCAGTGGCCACAGAGTACTTCACTTACGCAGCTCCACCGGAGGAGGATCACACGGCTCCCTGGCAAGCAGCTCGCCAGCTAGCCCAGGTGCTATCGCCACCACAACAGGTGGTCTTCATCCGCACCCCGGAGACAAATCTCTTCACCCTAACAGCCAAGCAGCTGGCGAATAGCAATTCCCTGGATATCTTCGTGCTTCAGCGTCAGGCGGATGCAGCGGCTCTGGCCCAGCAGCAGGCAGCCATTCAGCAGCAGGCGGCCAACCATCAGCCCTCAGTGCACTTTGTCAAATACCGAACTCCGGCAGATGTAACCCGAGCTTTGAGCGCCCTTAGAAGCGACTACGACCGGCTGCCAGGGAATAGCATCAGTCATGCTGTTGAGAAGGCGGATGTCCTGCACCTGAATCCGCCAACAGTGAGGCCATCTAGTCCACCAAGTCCTGCCCCTGTGATCTTTAAGATCCGCCCCAAAGACAGCGCCGAGTACGAGACACACGAGCTGGCCAGCGATCTGGAGATGGCAAAGCTTCAGGCCCTGTTCCGGGAGTACCTGCCACCGGGAAAGCGACGCTAGTTCGTCTAGGAACCTGGAGCCTAGTGCCAAAGACTGTTTAAGAGTTAATTAAATTAAATGCTAATTAGTACAGTTTCATTGTCAGCGTGTTTGATACTCCTGTATGTGTTACCTGAAAAATATTTCCAACAGCTGGTGGAATTTTTTCGGATTATTAAGTAGGCGGCTTGATTAAATATTACCAAGATACGATATCCGTTTATATTACCACGTCATTGAATATTGATTTATTGCTATAAATAATTAAGTTTGCAGACAAATTATTTACTTTGAGAGTCCAAGAGAGCGTTTTTAAATAAATTATATATAATTTTTATTAAACATGAACATGAAAGGGGGTTTGTGTTGGGGATTTCTGAATGGTTTTTGTATCCTGGCGGGGTATTATAATTTCAGTCAGAAGCTTGTAAAAATGTGAAGGAGTCATTTCCGACCCTATAAACCAAATATATTATTGATCAGCATTAACAGAGGAATCGTTCTAGCCATATCCGCTTAAAATTTAATTTTTAAAAAATTTTGAAATTTTATAAAGGGTTACATCGTTAAAATTGTCAAAAATTTATACAAAATTGAATTTTCTAAAATTTTAAATATAGTGTGCAGATTTGTTAACCTTAGAAAAACTAACATAAGAGTGATTTCCGAATTAAAATTAATGCTGTTTTGGCTTAGTTATGAAATTTTAAAACTAAGTTTTGTAGAACAAATTTTCATATAAAAATATATATATAAATATTGGTTCAAAGAATGGTGGTATAATTGTATTCAGAACCTTATAACGCTGTGAGAAGTCAATTCCAATCCTATAATTTATATCTATATATATAAAAATGCTCTGTTCGTGTCTACATCCTTCATAGACTCGAAAAGTTCTAAACCGTTTAAGCCCAAATTTTTACACAACATGCGTTGAGGTTCCAGCTCGGTTATTGACTACTTTTGATGTTGATAGCTTATCTGCGGTTGCGAATATATCTATTTTTTTACCGTTTCCAAGTGCCCCTACTGCTGCGCCATCTACAGGCAGCCAGCTGAATCAAAGCATTTCCTGTCAAACATTCAAAACATATTGAAAGAAGAAACTTGAAAAGTTCTGAACCGTTTAAGCCCAAATTTTTAGAGAACATGCGTTGAGGTTCCAGCTCGGTTATTGACTACTTTTGATGTTGATAGCTTATCTGCGGTTGCGAATATATCTATTTTTTTAGCGTTTCCCCGTGCCCCTACTACTGCGCCCTCTACAAATCAAAGCATTTCCTGTTAAACATTAAAAACATATTGAAAGAAGAAATTGGAGATAAAAATTTTATTTTTTGTTCAGGTTCAGTAAGAAACGAAGTCATGCCACCAAAAAAGTCGAGATTGGGTCGTTGTATTCGCAATACAGAAGCAAAAAGACGTAAGATTACGAATATGACTGACGAAAAACGGGCCTCCTTCCGAGAGACTGAGCGGCTGAGAGCAATGCATGGGAACGCGTTAATATTGCTCGCAGGGGATTTCAGACAAACGTTGCCTGTGATTTCCCGATCGACACCAGCTGACGAGATAAATGCTTGCCTGAAATATTCTATATTGTGGAAACATGTACGTACATTACAGTTGAAGACGAATATGCGTGTCCAGTTATAGAACGATGACTCAGCCGACGTATTCTCACGACAGCTACTGGACATTGGGAACGGAAAGCTGCCAGTCAATGAGACGTCGAGAAAAATAGTATTGCCCGGGAATTTCTGTAATTTAGTTACATCGAAGGAAGAACTTATCCAAAAAGTGTTCCCCAATATCCGAATAAATTATAGGAATCACGATTGGCTCAGTGGACGAGCGATTCTCGCTGCCAAGAACAAAGATGTCTACCAGCTCAATCATGTAATCCAAAAAAGCATAGAAACTGACGAAATTACATATAAGTCGATAGATACCGTTGTGGGGGCAGAGGAAGCAGTTAATTACCCTACCGAATTTCTAAACTCACTTGATCTGCCTGGAATGCCACCACACATATTGAAATTAAAAATAGGTGTGCCGATTATCATGCTCCGGAATATAAATCCGCCGAAACTCTGCAACGGTACGCGAATCGCAGTCAAGAAATTGATGAACAGGGATTGCGGTTTCCCATTCGTTTGGCGTTTGCAATGACCATAAATAAAGCTCAAGGTCAATCTCTGGAGTTGTGTGGTCTGGATTTGGATGAAGATTGTTTTTCACACGGACAATTATATGTTGCGTGTTCACGAGTCGGAAAACCAAAAAATCTTTATATTTACGCGGCGAATGGAGAAACAAAGAATATTGTATACCAACAAGTATTACAGAATTAAATTAATTTGAAAATTATTATTTTTTGTTTGACTTATTTCTTATGCGTTCAACCACAATATGCCACAGAGAAACGTGGCAGTCCATTTGGAGAATGGTCAACGTGTCTATTTCACAGAAAAAATGTGCAAGAAAGAGTCCTGAATCGGCCAGCGACAACTCTGACTGCCTTCTTCACCTTATGCCAGGAAGATGATTTTGCCAGAACCTTGATGTATTCAGAAGTGCCCTCTTAACCATAATATGCCACAGAGAAACGTGGCAGGGTACAGCTAGTATATAATATAATTGATCAGCATTAACAGCAGTGACATTTGCAAACTTCAAGGGTATGTAAACTTCGGCTTCCCGAAGTTAATTTACTTTCTTATTATTTTCGATGGAAATAATTATCTTTATATGCTTAAAACAAGCACAAAATATTATAAATTTTACTAGGCAATAATTAAAAGACGAATATTTTTCACAGAGTGGTATTCGTGGCTCATAAATTACTCAATGTACTTGGAGTGCCTGGGTTCTTGTAAACAAATTTAAATTAAATTTCAATCAGAAAACATTTAGTTGTTATGGCGAGACTTCAAGGCTGTGAAGGTTGTTTATCTATAGCCTTGCTATTATGAATAATTAATTACTCAGCCCTAGACCGTAACATTTTACTTCTGAGTTCCTGGCGAGGACTCCTCGCCCCTCGCACTTGGTGGATAATCTTCAAAGTATCTCTTAGATAATCATTAAGGTGTTGGTAACCGACTGCCGCCCACAGGCCGCCCCGCAAATGTTTTCTTAAGCAAATGTCGCCGGCGCTGCGAGGTTGTCGCTGGAAAACTTTTTAATGAGCTGGCGGATCCACGTCTCATTCCCGCCCACATTAGAGCCGCGTGGAAGGGATCCTGGGGTTTTACGACAGGCGCTGCTTTAAGAATGTTTCAACTAAATTACGCCACTACGCAAGGACCTGGGCCTGGGGGACGGAGGTGCGACAGGACACTGAGGCTGACATCATTTCGCTTTGCAAATTGTTTTAGTGTCAAAGGTCAAACACACACTTCCACCTTCATGGTGTAGCTGGCACTGCTATATGACACGCCGGAGTGCAGCCGTAAAAAGGATCTCCAGCTTCTGCTCCTGGTCCTGCTCCCGCCACTGCAAATCTGTTGAGCAAGTTTTAGTTTAAGCATTTTTGAGCAACATGAGAAGCTGGTCCTGGTCCTTGTGCTCCTCGTACTGGTACTGGTCCTGGGCGCCGCTCGTTAGCGGTGCCTGCCAAAAACTTTGCCAGTCACGTCAAAGCTGCCGGCATCGCATTCCGTCCCCCATCCCGCGTCCCAGACCATCACGAAGCCTTCTTTATTTCGCGGTATCTGCACGACAAGCCAACTCTGCTTTAATCCCTGGCTGCTTCCTGGCCGCAGGCACCTCATGACTTGCTGCAATTTCGGGACAGGTGTGTCCAAGGTCCAAGTCTCGGATTCCATCCAGCCAGCTGCCAAGTTTGCGTGTTTTTCAATCTTTTCTTCGTTTTTTTTTTCCGAGAGGCCTCTTGGCTCTGGGCCTGCCATCTCCAAATTAGGCGCAGCTTGGCGCTGCTTTCGCTTTTGTTTGGCGCTGCTCCTCATCGTTTTTTGGTGAGAGTTTGGCTATGTAGCTGGGCACGGCTAATAGCCACGATGAGTGGCCAATTGCCACAGAGGGGCTCAGTTACCAGGAGGTTAGGTGAATGCCAATATATTTGGAGGGTATACTGACCCAAAACTTTGAGTATTAACTCTATATATTTCAGGATATGAGATATATGTATAAAACGAAAGAAATTTAAATTTATCTTAAAAGAAGCTCAACCATCCTTATATAAGGTTTCCTATAAGAGCAGCTTAAAGTCTTTTCACAGGAAATTGTTATTAAGAATTCGCATATTATTTTTTTTTATTTCTTTCTGGGCGACACCCACACTCGGCTCCTGATATTCTACAATTTAAATTCTTATTTTGTTTGGCCATCAAACGATGCCGAAAAAGTTTAAATTAGTTAAAGAACTTCATTAACCGAACCGTCGAAGAGATTGACGTCCCAGCGAAAAACGCGAACTTGTGGAAAATTATGAAAATTATAATTACCGGCTTAAGCTGGCCAGAGTGGACCGTCGACTGGGGACCCAAGACCGTCAGATGATATCGCCAGACGACCGACCGACCAGTAACCAGTAACCAGTAGCCGTTTGTTTTCCGAGCATTTCAACACAGTGGCTGCCGTTTATTTTCGTGCCCTTCTCCTCGAAAAAAGACAGAGCGTCCAGCCGGGGTTTTTTATGGCCTGTCGCAGCCAACACAAATCAATTAGATAATGTGGCAGCAGCGGCATCACGGCAGCGGGAGCATTCGCAATCGCAGCCATGCATATTTATAAACGGCAGAGTGCATTTAATTCAAAGCCAAGACGAGCGATAGGCCTAGTATGCATATTCAAATCCCAGTTCGTTTTAATGACGATCGAATAGCACCGAATTCGAACCAACAGCGACGGCAAGGTCGTTCCTAAACAGTGGATGTCTCTCTCTCCGAGCTCGTGGGAGGGGTTAATCCAACTATAAAAGCCAGACTAGGCCTGAATCCCAGCATTAGTTCCCACTTAACAGCTACAATTGTACGTTGTGCTCCAGTCAACATGCGCGCTTTTATCGTAAGTCTCTAGGGGACTGTCAGTCAGGAGAAGGAACTTTAAATATACTTTTTCCTTCCATAGATTCTCTGCCTGATCGCTGCCAGCTGCAGTGCCGATAAGCTGGGCTACAACTATCAGCCGGTGGCCCATGCCGACGAGGGTCTTTCCTTCCTGCCCGGTCTAGGCGCTGAGCTGCCCCAGTTGCAGCTGCAGCCCGTGCAGAGCGGCGAGGCAGTGCTGTCCCAGCCCATTGAGGCTCCCGCCACCATTCAGACCGCTCCAGTTGTTCCCCAGGCCGCCCCTCAGATCGAGGAGTTCCAGAAGGAGTTCTACAGCTATGCCGCCCCGAGGAGCAGTTTGATGAGGGTGCCAGCAACCAGCAGATCGCCGATTCCCTGAAGAAGAGCTTGCGCGTCGTCTTTATCCGCACTCCCGAGAACCGTGGCTTCGAGCAGGCTGCCCTCCAGCTGGCCAAGCAGTCCGCCCAGCAGGAGACCGCCATCTATGTGCTGACCAAGCAGGGTGATGTGGCCAACCTGGCCAAGCAACTGAATGCCTTGAAGACCAGCTCGGTGAACAAGCCCGAGGTACATTTCGTCAAGTACCGCACCCCCGAGGATGCTGCCAATGCCCAGCTGGCCATCCAGAACCAGTACAACCAGCTGCCCGGAGTCTCCCGCATCTCCAACGAGGGTCGTGCTCCCGTCCTGAACTTCGCCTCTCAGCCTGCCATCTCTGCCAATGTGGCTCCAGCTGCTGCCGCAGCTCCCAGCTCTGAGTACCTGCCTGCCAATGTGGTTTCTAGCCAGGATTACCTGCCTCCCACTCTGCGTCGCTTCCGTGTCAAGTAAGGAGAGAGCACTCATAGAGAGTTTGCCCAACGGTTACGCTTCCTACGCAATCACATCGAAAAACACAAACACATCACGAGCAATCGACTAGCTCTTAAGTATCCATGTAGAGAAATAAAATTTGTTAGCAGACAAATTCGCACGGTGAACTACAAAACTCATTTGGAGCTGGAACGGCAGGACATAATTGCAGGACTCGACCATTTCCCTTTGGGTGAGATTCGTTTTTGTGAGTAAATCCTGGCTCTGGCTCTCTCTCTGTGAGTCTGTCGTCTGGCGGCGCATTCGTGCGTTGTCCTTTCACATAAAATCCCTGAAATAATAGCAGGGATAAACCGGCTGGCATGTCATAAAGTCCAGCAACAAGTTGAGCCACCCAAGTGGGCGGCCGCCCACTCATATGGCCGCAGGGGAGGTGGCAATGGTGGACCTCACTTTCATGGAGTACCCATGGAATCCCCGGCATATGCACAACAGTTTTATCCCATCCGCCATTCGTAATTGGAGTTATTAGAATCGAAATGAAGTGGCTCTACAATGGCCGGGTCCTTGGATCCGACCGCTCTTTGTAAGCACGTTGGTTGACAGTGATGGCCAGGGTTCTCCCCCCTGAAAGGGTACTACTTATGTTTCCAACGTTCCTAGCTGGGACCAAGGGTACATGAAATGAATACCTAAACCTATGTCCACCACTGAGAGAGGCCATTGTTGCGAATCTACTACCAGTTGTGGTCTGTATAAGTGGCAACGTCCTGTTGCAGGTGGAAGCTGCCTCGCCACGCCTCGCCTCCTGTGATCTGTAACCCCCAGCTGACGACGACACTCATCGAGTAGATTGTGTACCCTTTGGTGTGAGCACACAGATATTTCTGTGTATGTGTGTGTGTTCCTTGATGGCTTCCTGCTTCCGTGAAAGGCAAACTCATCATGCGAAATGCCAGCATCACACACATGGCCCTAACCAGAGCCCAAGCTGGCATGAACTATGGAGAGGATTTGGTATGCTGTTGAGTGGAGTCCTTAAATTTCACTTAGATGTAACATAAGCCCGATATAAACGCAACTCAACGGTGCATGTATTCATGGCCATCAGGCGGTGGGTGTGATGGGTGTGTGTGCTCGGTGTATGTGTCCTAAGTGTGTGCCCCTGCAGGAATCGCACGCTTATCAGCAGTCGAGTGCAAACTGAATCCGTTGCTCTTTCTGCCGGCTACAGTGGCGAATCGCTAAAGCGTAACGACAGCGACAATATGTCCTAGGGCTCGGGTTAGGGCATGGGTTCCGAAGCGGGGTCCTGGCAATTTGGGCCACCATAAACGCTGTTAGCTTGTCTGCCATTTGCCGTCTGACTGCGCCCAGACTGCTGCCTGTAATTAAGGTGATATGCAGCATTCAGCCGACCGAATCGACGACGACAACGACAACGACAACGAAGAGCCTACCAAGTGCGTGTCCTGTGCGTGTGTGGTCCTGGGAGGAGCGGGGACTGTGTACGCGGTGTGTGTGTGTGTTAATGAGCAGCCCGCTGTGCGCACAAAATAAATTATTAAAACGACATTCACGGCACTCTCAAGTGTCGCCCGTGCAAAAGTTCCTTTTGACGCCCAGAGATATCAGCAGTTTTGCACAAAGCTGAAAGGGAGACACCCTACACAGGCACCTCCACAAAGGGGAATTATAAAATGCTTGCATATATTACATTTGTGTAAGCTCTCGGGAGTGCATTTATAACACTACATTCGCCTTTTTTCTTGTTTCGCCCTTAAATGTTTCAAGTTAGGGAAAGAAATAACAGTAGTGTTCGAAAGAGAATGGGTAGATTCATTAAGGATAAGTCAAGTAACAAGTTCAAGGCTGACAGCAGGTGCTGTTACTGGTAGGATGAAATGGTGTTTTATAAAAAAAAAATGTTTGTCTAAAAGTTTAAGTTTACTTTCGATGAGTCTGGAAACAAGTTTTCTGTCAAAAATGAAATAAGAAAGAAAGACTTTGTCTGGAAGTGTGAGATTGTCTACATATAGTTGTTTTTCTGTAAATTTAACATTATTTGATTTTATATTTTCAAATTCCTTGAATTAATAGGAATATTTATTCCCCTTATATATGTAGATCACCTTCCTTATTTAAGATTTTTTTTAAGTTGTAAATTCAAGGCTCAGAGAATGAAGCCCAAGTTGCGTATACGACCTGTTGGCAACTGAAGCTGCGAGTGCGAAAAACGCATAGCATGCTTTTAGGCTACGCTGTAAGTGCAGTTTTTACAAAAACTCCTTCGAATTAAATCAACTTTTTTTCCGCTGGCGGAAAACCAAACACAAATCGCTGGTTTTATGGAACCATTTGCCAAATACAACGCAGCTTTCAATCTCACCAACTGACAGCTGCGGTGGGCAATGGCAACACTCGCCGAATTGCTGGCAAACAATGCAACAGCCACAACCATTTTTATTCCGATTTAAGCGAAACTTTCTAGGGTGGCGGCATTTGCCTTCGGTCCCACAGGCTAACCAATATTTCTTTTCAATTTCTGGCGCAAAAGTTGGGGCTGTAAAACTAAATATTTTGACGTTTGTCCGCACGCAGGCAGGCGGCAACTTTGTATTGGGTAGAGGTTAGGGTTGGGTGTAAATTGAAATGTGCTTGAGACAGTTGCTGCCGTCTCCAATTGTTTTTTTGCGGGTCGGCAACAAAGTTGCGCGCTTTTGTTAATTTCGGGTGCCTCGGCAACCGGTCCATGCAGGTGGCAATGGGTCCTGGAAAGCCGGACTAAAATCGTACAGGGATGAGGGCCACACCCAAGTGCACTTGCAGTTGGCAGTTGTACGCCATGTTGTCGCTGTCAAAAAGTTTTACTGCGCCTGTCGCTGCTGCTGCTGCTGTGGTTTGCTGTGGAATAGTTTGGGATTTGTTGGAAAAAGTGTTTATTGGTGTTTGCCGCGGGCTCGCTGGCTCTATGAAAATTGAGTTATTTGCACACACACACACAAGCAGACGCCTCGCTGGCTGTCGAAAGTTGGCACACATGCTGAGAGTTTTGGCTCATTAACCGGGCCACTCTGCTCTGCTGCTCCTTCACTGCTGCATATTAATTAGTCGACTTTTGGGCGCTGCCATGTATAATTAAGCAGCGAACGAACCTCTTAACAAACCACATCCTGTCTGACTCCTTCACTTGGCAGAGCCATGCCTCATTAACGGCAAAGCCAGGAGAGGAAAGAGCGGTATAGGAGGGACAGGAAGAGGGGCAGCAAGAGCTGAAGCTTCCGTTGCCCTGCTAATTTAATATTTATACCTTAATCAAGCCACAGTCGTCGGAAAACCCTTTTGATGGCTCCGCAGAAAATCTGTTGATTCGTCGATAGCCAGATTGGTCCGGCCTAACGATGGCTGGGCGTTAATTGCTCATTTCCATGCAATGTTGTCGTTTCCCCCTGCCAGGCTGCCGCCCTGTTCCCCACCAATCAGTGTCCTGCTCCGATGTCCTGTCTGTCACACAAATGCGGAATCGATAGCTCGCATCTGTCACCAGAAACACACACACACCCATACACAATGAGGCCGACCTCCCGCTGGTCTCTGATGTCAATGTGTGTGTGTGTACAGGACTTTGATTTCGTAATGAGGCAGCCAGGCTGGTTGCACCTTTGTGGCGTATCCTGGGACAGACAAAGACGGCTCATCCTCAGCCCCACTGATCCCTGTCAGGGAATGGGATTGGGGCAAAGGAAAATACTTGGCCATTGTGTCTTGGGCTTTGTCTGTGGCCCTGGAACTGGCTCTCGTCGGATGTGTTTTACGGCCTTGATACCCTTGATTCGCCATTTATTCCGTAGTTTATCCTTTCGTTGATTATTGCCGAGCATTTGCACCCGACTCCAGGCCCGATCCCCCTTTGTAATTTCGTGGAGACTTCTGACCTTATATGTCCTTTCGCTGTCGCCCTTTGTTTGTGCTGCGCTCCTTCAATTTCCCTGCACATTTAAAAGGATTAAAAGGATATTCGTCAAACGGAAAGTTGCGCAAGTTTGTTTAACGCACTTGTGGGATCCTCTGCCCTAAAATCCTGTCCCCAGCCCTTCGCCGACTGCCGCTTTGTTGTGTTTTTCCACATTTGCCATTTATTTTCCCTTTTTTTTCTGTTGGTTCTGTTTTGTTTTGTTTTCTTGGTTTTTGGGAGGAAGAAGAGCAGACCCTTTTGTTTACTCGGCCCGCTTGGAGGGTGTGTGCTCCTTAACAGGTCCTTGAATGAAACGCTTTTGGACCTTTTGTTTTCAACATTTATTTTTGTTAGTTCGTTCTCTTTACCACAAATATTCGTATTCTGTATGTATATTTAATATGCTGTATATCTCCTTTTTTTCAGTGTAGTAGATTGGCCAAGCAGTAGGCGCCATAATTTGGGTTGAGTTTGTAATCGTAATTGTTGTTCATCGCTTCAATTTTTACACGTTTTAAACTTTACACTTAGTTAGCCGCTGCTCGGCTGTGACTCTGGTTAATATTCGTGGTACTTAGCGTTAGTATACTCATAATAATACACATATTCCACAGTTATTTTTGCGTGTGACTTGCATAGGTTGCAGTTCTTACATTGTATCGCTCGCTTGGTATGTCTGTATCTATAAATAAATATTTACGTTCACGTTACGTAAATCTGTTAATCGTTTAAATCGTTTATCGAGTTCAATTTGTATCAATTGGATTCAGTTTAATCAAAAGATTAGCCACAATTCAAGCTATTCCGCTAGACAATTTCTTAGACCTTAATACATTTTATACAATACAAATGAGGGAAATTGAAATAAGGTTGAATCCAATATCGAATACTTTTATATATGCCTTTGTGCGATTATATCAATGTGTGTCCGATAAACAATGGGAACAAAAAGTTAAAGCTTTTTGTGGTGTATGTGTTTTAAAATTAATAAATAATGCCCTTTTCTCTATAAATATATATATTTATTTTATACATCTCTTATTCATCTTCGGGGTTTTCCCGTATGCCATGTTGTATACATAATTTCAATATATATCTTGTATAATTTATGCTCTTTGTTCAATACGCAATGATATGTGTGATTGGAAGATTTTGATGTGAGTGAAATGATAAAGGTAGTCACAGTCGTCGTGCCTTTGTTCGACTTTCGACCTATCAAAATACAACATTTAAATATAATGTTCGGATTTGTATATCGATCGTCATAATGCCATTCCATTGACTTGCATATGAATGCCATTCGGTCTGCATACCACTGCTTTTATCGGCCTCAACAAACAATTATAGTTAAACGGCTTAAATGCCATATGCTTAGCATGAAAAATGTTAATTGGCGCGAGACTCGTCTCTCTGGCGTAGAGAAAATGTTACAACATTTATGATATGTTTTGCGAATTGCTGCCACACTTAACGTACTCTTACTCGATCTATATAAATACAGAGTTTTTACACAGTTACACATTTATATATGTTCGATACAGAGATTGAGAGAGAGAGTGAGTGAGAGCTAGAATGCATGGCCCATAATTAGTAGACACGACTGTAACTAGGACTGGGGTTCTCCTAGTTCTAGTCCTTGGCCAATTATGCACATTCATGCAGATATATGCTGAGACAACAGACTCTCGAATGTAGACAACACGCAGTTTGCATATTTATACAGACGAACAGACAAGTGGGGTGGAGTGTGTGTATGTATGACATCGAGTGGGTACTCTGGGAAAGTGGGAAGTGGGAAGCTGGGTCGTGTAGGCGAGTGTAATGTTGTGATGTGTGTTTGCACTTGTTCATAGATTGGTGGGAAACATTTACTAGTACGAGTGATTCACAAACCGATAGGTGAGTGGGAAATAGCTCCCGCCACAGTTCACAAATCAAATCAAATTATCTGGAATTGAATGATGGCTGGAAATTAGCATACCATAATCATAATATTGTTACTAAAACTAAAACTATATGTACGTATATAATCTACGGTCTTGACTAAACAGAGGAATAAATCATGGGTTAACATTAAAGCATTTCCATTTGTCGTGTATAAGTGTTAATAATATGCTTTTGTTTTTCATTTTCATTTTTATTTATTATTTAGTTCTTAGTGCATGCAATCAGTAAATTTGCATGCATACCTATCGTAATGTATAATTTATAAATGTAATCAATTTTTGTTTTGTTTCTGTTAATAATAGACAGCGTAGCATAGGAAGACGTCAATACCTGCATAAGACATTTTAGCCATATTTTCATACATAATATGAACTTTGTTTTCAATTACATTCACGTGATGTCACCGTTATCATAATTAAGTATATTTCATTTATAAAAATTGTTTTGTAGTCCGTTCAAGCATTATCCGATCGGTGTGCACTCACTGAGGAGAGAGACAACCGCGGGAAAATGTTTCAACTGTGGCAAGATTTTGCAATTTGCAGTTGTAATTGGTTTTGTCAATTGTTAATTGTTAATTGTCAAGTGTTTGTTTTGCTTTAACTGATTCGCACGTTCGTTCAAACTGTAGGAGAACATCGCAGGCTTAATTGTATTACTAACATTATGTTTGGTTTCGCCATCGTCGAGTAGAAGTCAAAATAGAAGCCTAATTACACACACAATACAGACGCGACGCTCATTTAATTTTGGTTTCGTGTATATGTATATACGGTATAGTATAGAGTATAGACTAGTCCACTAATTGCTTTACATATATTTACTTTGCCGGGTTGTCCGTGTTTTGTTGTCGCTATCATCTTGCTTTACATAGTTACATTGTTATGCTACGTGTGTTTAAAATGCTCCTCTAGCCATAGACACTTAAAGCGCGCTCCTAAATATACATCCGCACTTAGTTTTAAGCACTGCGATTTACTTTGCTTTACTTAACTCCCTTAAGCGGCCGAAAAACGCTAACGAAAAACGAAAACAATTAATCGCAACGGCAAATATTTTCCTAACTACACACTAAACGCTCCATTGCAACGACATAACCATTTACACACACAACGAACCGAAAATAAGGGGGCCGAAATGAAAATAAATAAATAAGCGTCGTAATGTTTGGCGGAGTGGCCGAACCCTCTGGGTCTTGACCCTTTCCCGGGTCACCACGCGCCGCCAACTGCGCCCTTTTTGTGGCCGCCATGTTGGGCACCATTTCTTGCCCCATCTTATTGGGCGCCATTTCTCGGTCCGCCTGTCCTTTTGTTTTTTGTTGTCTTTGTTTTCTCAAAATGTTTTCAACACTGATTGTTTCTGTAAGCTTCTTGGTTTAACTGTCTAATTATTTTACATTTAAACGTTTATTTCCGGGGTACTTTGGTACGGGGTACGGTTGGGGTACGGTTAGGGGCACGGTACTCGTATTTAACTTGCTGCTGCTGCTGGCTGGCGCTTAAATTCAATTGCCCTAATTCTTAGCCTAACCCTCCTCAGTTGCCACATCCCTGACTATCCTTATCCTTGACTAGCTGAAGCGCTACAATACCGTAAAAAATATGTCTCCATTAATTTCGTTTTTCAATTTGTGAGTTTTCAGTTTGTCCTTCGGTAGTTCTCTACTGCACTGTGTAAGATCATGCATTTTAGGTACATGCTTCGTAGCGGCTGCTTTGAAACGCCTAAAAACCTTCAACCCAATCAATTCTGGCTGTTTGCATTTGGATTTCCCAGAGGGGAAGCGGCATTTGCCCAAAAACTTTTGACAAGGCCTGACCTTGAAGAGCACAAAGTTTGGTTTCTCAGCACAGGGGCTTGAGCCCCTCTCTCTCGTGTTCAATTAGCTATACAAAATTATCCTTGTGCTCCAAAAAATGGCCACTGGCCGGAAGGGAATGCCTATTCTTCTATAGAACTGCAGTTCCCCTCGGCCAGCAACTTAATTACAAACATTCTCTTTGGCACTGTGGCCGCACAAACTACCAACAAAAAACTAGACAAGCTGAAATTCCCCGGCCGCTTCCCTCGCTCATCTGCAGTTATTTACAAGTAAACTATTTAAATTGGCCGACCAAGGCAAGCAGCACAAATGCAAAAAAGTAACATTCCCTTAATCCTTTCGCCCGGCATTGTCCTCTGCCCCTTTGAGCTCTCTGCTAATTTTCCTGCTAAATCGAGCTCTCTCTCTTGGCTTCCAAACAGATTAAAAATTTGGTATACAATTTACAAAAAAATCCAACTTGGTTTCTCCGATGCAGCTTTTGTCCTCGATGTGGATGTGGATGATGATGATGATGTGATTGCCCTTGGATTGGCCGTAGCTCTACCTTCTACCATGCAGAGTGTGCAAGTACGTCGGTGGTCTTCTCCTCTCCCGGCTCCTACTCAGTGTCCTGCACTGTCCCTCTAGTAGCTGAGGGGCAGCAGGACAAGGAGCAGCAGCTGGGCCAGCGACCACAGGTGCGTCAACACCGCCCCACCGTGCGCCCTTCGTCCGGCAGAGGTCTCGTTGCCATGTCCATTACCGTTGCCCAGCGCCGCCATTCCGATGCTGGGCGGAGCCGTTGACGTGGAGGAGGCAACTTGGCGCTCGACCTCAACTGCAAGAGGGGAAAAAGTGGGTTTTAGAAGGTGATAAACAATGTTGGGTAATTATTCTTGGGTTGCTGCACAGAAAAACAAAATCTAAATTTGAAAAATCAATACACTCTCAATGTTGTCATGTTACAGAGAGTCTCTATTATTTAAAGGAAAACTTTATTCCTCCATTCTCTTAACCTAAAATGTAAAACAATAATAGCTTGAACATTATGGCTTAAAATAAACCGCATTCACGGTAGGTGAGGTCAAGGAAAAGGGCGGGAAAAATCAATTTAAAAAGCAAAGTTGATGTTGTAAAATGAATAATTCAGGACAGTGATAAGCCCTCAAGTTATCTAGCCAAAATGGTTTACCACCGAGAACGGGGGCATAAAACCGCAGGAAAGGTCACCGCGGTGATCTGACTGAGAGTCGTCGGGCTCTAAAAAGTTTTCGCATAAGATGGCAGAAGCCCCTTAGGGCGGCATAAGAAACAATTACAGACTGGAGCATTCTCGGCTGCGAAGTGGCCCAAACAAATGACGCACTTCACGCAACATAAATAACACGCATACGCCCCTTGGTTCAAGTGACAGTTGGCAGCCACTCGGCCACTCCGGCAAACTGGGCCGGCAAAGAGGTTGAAGGTTGAAGGACGAAAGACGCAGGACGCAGGACGAGGAACCACGGACAGCCAGAGGCAACTGATGGGAAACGAGCAGCGAGCAACGAGCGTCGTGAGTCATGGGTCTGGTAATGTGTAAATTATTTCGTACAATTCGGGACAATTTACAACAGGGCTGAACGACTTGGCTGGGACGTTAGTGTTAACAACCGGCTTGTATGCAAACAATGCCGGCAAATATATAAATTAACCTTTGTTTGGCTCTGCTCTCTACCCAACGAGTAAATGAAAATTAAACGTAGACAAACGGAAAACATATGACACCGAGAGGCCCTTTCAAGGACGAAATATTTAAGCTGCCAGTTAAGACAATGGCTCCGTTTACTTTTGTTTAAAATTCAACGTTGGCCTTCGCTTTCCGACAGGGATAAAACAATGCGCTCTCCCTTACATTATCATACTAATTTATTTTGTGAAAATTCATCCGTGATTCCATCATACATTTCATAATTTGGCGGCGTCGAGGACGTTTTTTTGATGATCTCACGGGTCGTAATTTCAGTCGGCGCGTACCGAAACAAATATTTGCTTTGCATAGCATTACACGGCATAAAATAAATAAAGTAAATATGCACACAGACAGGCACAGACATTTATCCAGTGCCATGTAGGCGCAGAGATTCATGCAAATCACGCATACGCCCTGTGTGCCGAGATAACATGCGTTCTAAATTCAAGAGTTTGACCTCGAAAAACTTTCCACTCGAACAATAATCTTTTACCTTTCATTATTTCCATAGCTTTAATTATAGAATATAAAAGTTATAATTATAGTTTGTGCTCACCTTTCACGGAGTACGTCTTGTAGTCGGCGTACTGCTCGCCCTGTCCCACCGTGGCTGGGATCGTCGATAGACAGGTGATCTCCATGCGCCCATTACTGCCCACATGCTCCTCGGTGAGCTCAATGTTCAGCTGACTGATGCTGAACATTCCCTTCTCCTGCTGGGCAGCGGTCACGGCAGCAGCTGCAGCTGCCACACCACTCCCGCCGCCAGGATGCGAGAGCGGTCGCTGGTAGCCCGCCGCCAGCTGGTTCATGGGACCGGCATTGGAGGGAATGCCCAGCTCCTTGTTCATATTGGGCGCCTGTGGACCAAAGCCACCGCTGTTCAGGGTGCTGCGAATGATGCCCAAGGCGTTCTCGTTTATGTGGCGCCGGTACTTGCGGTTGCTGTTTCTGGAATAAAGAGCGAGGACTTCATTGAATGGTGGAAAACTGGGTGTGGGAGTCTGAGTGTAATGTGCCTGGCCTGTGCGCCCGGCAATTTGCACACAAATAAAACCGTAAATATTTGCATTTTATGATTGATGTGTGTAAACGTGGAAGGCAAAACACTGGGAGCTTCCACATGCCGGGCACGCACATCTGATTCCCAAAACGAGGCCGAAACAGTGTTGCCAAAAGGAAAAGTGATCAGTTGCTTCAAATACATGGGAAATAATGTGAAATATTCAACATTGTATGTTTCTTGTAAAATTTTTATCTCTTATTACAACTAAATAAAATATATTTGATAAAACCATCTGTCAAAAGGATAAGTCCTCTCGAAAATCGTCAAGCTGACAGCACTGACGAGGACTCCATTTCCTCGGGAAATGGATACAAGGAGCCGTCTTAATTTTTATCTCAGAGCCGAGTCCTGAGTAATTGATAACCCAACAACCGAACAACCAACTTCACAACTCTAAATGGCCCGAGGATTTGGCGGGGAGGCTCATTTTGTTTCCAGGGAAAAATGCAGAAAAAGTGTGAGATTATCGAGCAGCTGGGCCTTTTCTGCTGATTGGCAACGCTCTCTAATGGTTATCCTGCATTACGGACTGATTAGTTTGCATTATTCAGCCGACGGCATTCAGCTCGTATCGCACATTGTGAATCTAATTAGCTTTTACGACTTTGCTTCATATTTGATAAGAAGCCTGAACGGCATACAAATGAACTTGTCTGCGGGCCTTGTTGTGGCTTTGGGGGGTAGCCCAAGGATATATGTATACCGTATTCAGATCCCATCCCTTGTAATTACCTCGACTCGTACGGCGACATGTTGCTTTATTACAAATGCAAAATGACAGCGAAATTACCTCAACCAGCGGCAGATACACCTGATACTTGAGCAAATAATGGCGGGGCCGTAAAGTTTAATGCCGGCAAACCCATTGTCAGGCGTGTCAGTTAGTGAAGAGCATTGAAATCTGTGGGAAATTCGTTTCCGAAAGCGCTCACTTCCGACTCATTTTGAGCAATTATTTTATTTGCATAGCTCTCGTCCTTGCCTGCCTTGCCTGCTTATGCAAATGGAATTTGAATGCCCTGGAATTGGGTTAGAATTGTATTTAAATATTATGTGGCTTAAAGTGCATCTCGGTCTGGGTTGCATGAGTATGAGCCCGACTAAGGGTCCTGGGAAACGAAGGATACAGTTGCCGCAGGCACTCTTACAGATAAGGCAAGGCGTCAGCAAAAAGTTGCTTTTACTCAGGGAGTGTTTGCTTCCCATTCAATCCCCCTAAAAGTGTGTATAGGAGAGCGAGTATGTTGCAGTCCACTCCGGCTTCGGCTTCCTGCATTGTGCAACTGGAGCTATTGGCATCTAGGGAGAAAATGGGCGAATGCAAATTTTAAAGCCACAAGACGACTCTCCCATGCGCTGTAGAGGAGGAGAGTTCTTTATAATGGGAATATAACTCCAAAAATGTTATATCCATTATGGTTTTCAAATGAAATTTAATTTGATTTCCTTTTATTATTATTGGTTTTGAGAAAAGTGGACAATAACGACACAAGAAATGTATTAAATATTACAAATATACAACCTTCAGTTTTTCGAAAACTATAAAACAATTCTTAGGCAATGTCCTAAAATCTAAGTTTCTGACAAGAGTTCCCAGCACACTTCTTTTGGTGTCCAGGGTAAGAAGTGCAAACCTTTGCACGCATGCAAGACAAACAATTGCTTGTCATGGGCATTAGGGGAAGGTGGAGAGAGGCAGAAGAAAAAGGAAGAAGGAAGCAGCCATGCTCCTGGAGAACTTGAACAATATCGAGTGGCAGCCAGGCAGTTACCGACAGACAAACAGCAGTGGCATGAGTAGTAAGCCAGTTAAGACGGGAAGCAAACAAATGCGGGACAAAACTCTGAGCAAATGCACAATATCCGCATAAGCCTTCGACAGCTCTGCTGGTCCAACTGGCTTTGGGCTGATGACAGGACCCGAAGAGCAGATGGCGGATGGAGGAGATGAAGCCGAAGGGGCAGAACAGAGGTGGAGCAGCTGCAGCCGGGGCATCATCAACGGAGCTGTTGTTACTGCGATGCTGCTCCAGTTGTCTTAATAAAATTCCTTATGCAGCGCACTTTTCGCAGGAAACGCTGCCACCGGTAGTAGAGGCAACATGGCAACAACATGGCAACGAGCCAGGACCAAGGAGCCAGGATCGAGCAGCAGCAAGAGCTGGGACAACAGCATCAGCACCCGTGGCAGGAAGCTCAAGTTCAAAAACACAACAAACTTGCCGAGCAATTCAAATCAGAAGGAAATGCGGGCCCCGGTGTACGCTCCTGAAAGGGCGTATATACAGTGTATATAGTGTGTGTCCTGTCTGTTAGTTATGAAACTGCTGGCTGGCATGACACTTTAAATTCCTTAGCCTTGGCTACAAAACATCTTAACTCGCCGCTGACATGCAAAAGCGCCTTCTGGTCCGGAGGGCCACACCGCCCCAGGCGATAATTTGAGAAATGCGCTTAATTAATTGATAAGTCATGTAGTTTCTTTGGGGCCTGCCTCCACTCTTCCGCCCAGTTCTGGGCTGCGCAAAATTTATGTGTCTCTGGGCCGCAAAAACCGCAGCCTAATTTCGTCTGCCAACGCAGGCAAACGAGCTGAAGGCGTCGACGCCAACGCACCAAAACCTATTAGCAATTTATGATAGATACACCAGTCCATTCCAGGACTTGAGCTGAAACTGTGCTGGATAACTTGCGCTCATTTTCCCGACAAATTTAGCTTTTTCCAGGGACTTCGTTTTCGCAGAAATTTACCGGGGTTAAAGACTTGGTGAAACGGATATTGTAAGTGGATATGCACGCAATAAATTAATGGAAAGTAACTACAAAGGTGTACCTTAAGTAGAGGTAATTCTGAGCTCTTAAAATAATAAATGAAATAAAATCAAGAAGGAAAAAAGGAAGCCAAACTTAGCATATCTTTTGCTTAAGCGAATCATCATAACTCAGTCAAAAATACATGAATTTCAATTCGGAAAGCTTTTCTATGTTAGATTTTATTAGTTTTATAAACCTACATACTCATTTAAAAATTTAAAATTTGATAAATTTTTGACAATTTTAACGATGTAACCCCTTATCATTTTTTGAAAAAATCTACAAAATTTGAAAAAAATTATTTTCAACTGGAGTTATCTAGAACGACTCGGCTGTTCGTGCTGATTAAGAATATATATTCATTCTTCTTGGCTTCTGACTATAATTATAATACTATTATTTGACCCAAAATTTATCTATATTTTTATATGAAAATATGTTCTAAAAATCAATTTTTAAAATCTCATAACTAAGCCAAAAGACAATAAATTTTAATTCGGAAATTACTTTTATGTTAGTTTTTCTTAGGCTAAAAAATTGGCATACTCAATTTTAAATTTACAAAATTGAGGATTTTTTGCATTTTTTGACAATTTTCACGATGTAAACCCTTATCAAATTTTCATATTAAAAAAAAATAAAAATAAAAAAAAATAAATTGTTGCCTGACTTGGATAGATTGACTTGGCTATAGATGCTGATCAAGAATATAAATATATCATTTATGGGGTCGAAAATTATTCCTTCACATTCTTACAAGATTCTGACTGAAATTATAATTCCGGCAAGGGCATAAAAATAAACATTTTCATAAAATAAAAGAAAAAAGTAAGAAGTAATTCTTATCTTTATTCTAAGTCTGACTTTCGAACCAAAACTATCAAATACAGAGAGAAAGCTATCTTTAGTTTTCGCATCATCCTTTCTGACCAAAAACTGACAACACTAAACAGGACAAAACACCATGATTTCCAATCTGGGGGATACCATCTAACCACTTAGACTGGAACAAGCAAAGTAACTTAAGTGGGCGCTGGGGCTACGTGCAAAACCATGAATTTCTTATGGCCCTGCCATGCACAAAACAAAAAGAGGTCCTGAAATCGGAAACCGGAACTTGGGTGAGCCGCAACTTGGCAACAACAAGGCGAAAGGCAAAGAAACCAAATAGATTACCAGCAAAACTTTTGGCTAGCTTAACTTGGCCATGCCATGGTGACGCTGTTGGCCAAAATCAAAGTATTTCCCCCGAAAAACCCGGTAGCAAAAACCCCGAATCTCCGCTCCTTCTCGCCCCCTTGAAAATTACATGGCGCAACGCATGCAAATTTCTCTGGCAAGTAATTGCCCGGGGCCAGCTAATTTGTATTAACTATTCAGGGGTGTAAAATGTTTCGTCATCAGCCAAAAGCCAGCAATACCAGGTCGATGTCGACCTAACAAGTGTCTAACTTACGGCTCAAATGCGCGCGCGCACAGAAGACCGCTGCAAAAATAACTTTTAAACTGGGTTAGCCAACGTCGCGTAACTCGTACACTGAGCCAAGAGTCGGTTTAAACATGTTAAACCTAATTTGTTATGATATATTTCATTTTAAACTAAGGAAAAACAAATATAGAATAGATGTTATATGTATGTTTAGTTGATATTTTTTATGTATATGTATGTTTTATATCCATTTCTATTGCATTCAAGATTTTCCCATGTGTATCCTGGCAGGAAACTCCATCGCTACCAAAGATTGCCACCACGGACCACCGAGCGAGCGTAACTGACAACGGCAACTGGTGCGCGTGTGAAATTATAACTGACAGCAGAGCTTCTTTTGTCGTCGCTGACTCGTCCTGGCATGCGGTTCATTGAATAATTTATGCACTATAAAGTGGCACCGCCCGCCCATGCCGTTGCCATATCCTTCCGTGTCCTTCGTGGCTGGCACAAAGCTCAGAGAGAGTATGGAGTACGACAGCTGAAATGGGAACGAGGTGTTTTTGGCGTGCATTCGCATGCGTGTTCCGCCAAATAGTTCATTAAATGCCCCTGTAACCATTTATGCTGCCAACAGCATTTTCCAGCTGGGCTGGCCAACCTAATTAGGGGTCAAACCAAACGGAAAATTGTTCATTATGGGAGCAGCGCGTCGTTTATCATTTACCCACTCTAATTGAGTGGGGAAACAATTTGATAAATTTAGTTTAAATCATATTATTACAAAGTAGTTCGACAGCCATCACACATGTTGCACGCGACAGTCGATAGTTGTGGGGTGGTAAAAGTTGCCGCAGGAAAACCGCTCGTAATTGGCTTAATTGGGCATTTATCGTCAATCACCGAGTTGCACGTTCATGTTTGACTTGAAAAATGCATATTTTCGCAATTAACTTGATTGCATTTCCATGGCAAAGGCCGCAGGGCCATGCCGTTCCTTTGGCATATATCGAATCAGTCACTAGTCAGGAATCGGAGCTAAGTTCATTACCGGCAGAGCGAGCACACACACAGACACACACACACAGTTTGACTGACATTGCTGACACCCCGGAAAGTATGCCACACAGTCGGGGGTCTCACGGCCCATTGGGCAATCAATGAATGAATGAATCTCTCGCATATCAAATTCCAAAAAAACAATAAATGTTATCATAAATGCCTAATAATATGCAAGCGATACACAAAATGAATAAAAAATAATAACAATATTCAAATAAAGCGAAACCCGAAACCACCAAATACCACGACTTCATTTGCATAAATAGGTTTTTTTGTGTTTAGCCCTTTTGTTAGTGCATAATTACGAAATAGTTTACTGATTTTGACCATAAACTAGCCTCGGACAGCGGATACAGTGGACAATCGTTGCGGTCGTCATCCGATTAGCATATGATTTGCGATCCCGCATAGCCTGTCTCCACTGCGTGATATATTGACCGTTTTAATTAGCTGCGAGTCTGGCATATCATTCCCAGAATGCTGTTGATTTTGTAATTGATTTGTTTTCACCCACTGTTGTTATTTTTTCGTTAATAATTAAATATGACTAGCTATGCTAATGGCCTGGCATTGCTCCACTTAAGTGGCGATTATTATTGGCCTACCAAACGTCCAATTCCGTGGCCAGTTTGGTGTTTTTGCATTTCGTTGGCAACAGCGAAAATTGGCAAACCGTTTTGAATTTATGCAAACTAATGCTGGCGGATACAGTTTCAGCCTCAGCCTCTTGCGTTTTGCAACAGGCTGTCGCTTTGGTTATCAACGGCATCGACTACACCCTCGGTCCGTCCCAGCTGCGAAATCTGCATCTTATTGGAGGCTGTCTGTCTATATAAGCCGCCCTCTTTCAAATGGGCTGCAGCATTAGCGGTTCACACCTCCCAAAGAGGCCAACACGTTGACAGATTCGAGCGGAAATTGGCTAGAAAAGCAGTCATCAATATGCGTGGATTTATTGTGAGTTGAAAGCGAATAAGAGAATAACTTCAAAATATCTGAGAGTTTTAACACTCTATATATTTTATATTATTTAATTTAAAATTGTAATACTCCAGATTTTGGCCATCTTGGCATTGGCACGTGCCGATGTGGGTGGTTACAACTATGGAGCAGGCATTGGCGGCTCCAGCACTGGAGGTTCCCTCAGTGGAGGTTCCCTGTCCGGTGGCTCCATTTCCGGAGGATCTCTATCTGGAGGCTCTGTCTCCGGTGGCTCTCTAAGCAGCGGCTCCTACTCCAATGACTACGCTCCGGTCAACACAGAATTCAACAAGGAGTTCTTCACCTACTCCGCCCCCGAGGCTGATTTCGAAGACAACAAGAGCGTCAGCGACCTTGCCGCCACCTTGAAGAAGAACCTGCGAGTGGTCTTCATCCGGGCGCCTGAAAACAAGGGTCTGGAGAACGCCGCCTTGGCCTTGGCAAAGCAGGCTGCCGAGCAGCAGACCGCCATCTATGTGCTCACCAAGCAGGGTGACCTCTCCAGCCTGGCCAACCAGCTGCAGAATCTGAACCATGTGAGCGCCAGCAAGCCGGAGGTGCACTTCGTCAAGTATCGCACCCAGGAGGATGCCCTTAATGCACAGCGCACCATCCAGCAGGAGTACGAGCGTTTGGGTGGTTCCTCCACCTCCCACAATGGGGGCGTGGCTCCCGTCCTGGACTTTGCCACCAAGCAGCAGGTGCATCACCACCACCACCATCAGCAGCAGCAGCAGCAACAGGTGCAGCTGATCGACGAGCGTAGGGCGAGCATCAGTTCCTCCTCCGCTGGAGTTGTCTCCGCTGAACTAGAGGCTCCCTCCGCTGGCTATATTCCTCCTGCCGCTGCTGCGCCCAGCTCCACCTACCTGCCTGTGAACAAGGTCAAGTAGGAGGGACCCATCCTCATCAACAGCCTCTCCATATATGTTATGTTACAAACTAGCCAAATTGTGTTGCACACTCGGCAGTAAGTGCTGCGTTATAAAATAGAATTTTAATTTAATGTGTACTCGATGTTGTTGTGGCTGTACCGAGATTAATGGGGCTCGCCTTTCCCGGCAGCGCCTTGTGGCCACCACCGCTATCGGTCGGCACTTAGCCGGGACCTGGGCCTGCAATTAAAACTAAAAGCGCATTGGCATTGGACGGGCTTAAAACTTGCCGTAAATTTAAGTGAGCCCGAGTCCGTTGCCATTATGGCCGCGGTTTATGGCACGTCAACGGCGACCAGCGTTGACCCGCCCTTAAAGGATTACCGCCACACACGCAATGTGGGGCACCAGGACGCGGCTAATTACCGCCACAGAGCCAATTTCGGGCAGTCGCGAGTCGCGACATTTAAGGGACGCCCTTTTTGAGGGTCAAGTCGGCGGCAGTGGTGGTAATTTGGTCTCGGCCAAGGAAACCCACACTGAAAATTAAATGAAAATTGCTGGCTGCATTTAGTGGAGCGTGCGCGCTCCTTTGTTTTCCGAGAATTCCAGCAACTAGGAACCAGCGACCAGAACGCCCAAAAGTGCTTTGTTTTGTATTTAGCGGTGAGGTCGACATTCCTTAAAATAATCTAAAAAGCTATTCCAGTTGCAGCCAAGTGGCAAGATTGTTGCACTGCGGCTGCCAGGAATCCTTCCAGCGAGCGCTTATTAAAGGGGCGTTTCCTGTGGCCGCTTTAAGTTGGCGTTTGTTGGCTTTTTGGATTGCTTTTCGGATATATCCTATCGTGTCGTGTATGTGCTTAGGTGTGTGTGTGTGTAGGAAGTCGGCACAAAGGAAGTGTGCAAAGGGCAAGCAAGTTGCCGGAATAAAAGCCAGGTTGAAGCTAGACGCAGCCAAGGACCTTCAGACCTGGCCAACATTTAGTTTTGCCAGCTTTCTGCCGGCTTGGGCCTGCCACAAAAGGCCTTACGTGTTGCACAAACATAAATTGTGCAACAACGTGTAAACTACTTTTTGACTGCACGGTAGGGCGCTCCCGTCCCAGTTCCCATGTCCTTGCTAAACCCATTCCGAGCCATCTCACTCTCGAAGACGTGGAGTGAAATCGGTAGCCTAAATACCCTTCCGGGGAGTTAAGTAATTAAGAACAAAGAGGAAATGAGATTGAATCAAAGTCGATTTTGGATTGGAAGTTTTTGAATATATATATATTTTTTAACTATTTAAAATACTTTTTTCCTAGGGTATTAATTTTGTCAGCTTCCGGAACCCATACTATTCCCATTCCCCTTGGCAAGTGTTCACTCAGCGCTACGTGTTATGGTCTTTAGAGCCGTGCAACGTCTGCTGTTGCTCGTTGTTTCGTCTGCCTGCCATTCGGTTTTGTTCTTTTTGTTTTGTATTTTGTTCTTTTTGTTCCTTTCATGTTGCAGTCTTTAAGGGTCTTCAAGCCCTTTTCCCTCAACCTACACAAGAGGAACTAAAATGATGTAAAAGGCAAACAAAACGAGAGAGAGTGCGGCAATATGAAAGCATTCTGCTGTTCCGGCTTTTGAGGGCCACTTGTCAGTCTGTCAGCAGGCCGTTCACTAATCACGTTAAGCGGTTAATTACTTCCCAGGGCTCATGTCACAGGACTGACTACCTGCCCACAAATACACACACTCGTCTGACCTATACTCAATATTTTATGCCCGGCCCCATAAATCTTGCATGGTCGCTAAGCTCGTTCACACTCGTAAAAATATTTTACTTTGTGTGAAAATTACCTTGTGATAACAATAATGAACCCCCATTTATTGCTTTAGGAAGTTGTTTCCTTTAAAATTTATTCATTATCATTTTTATAAGTTTTGGAGGGTAACAAAAACAGGGTTTGGCTTTTAAAAATATATTTTCTTTTTAATAGAGATATAAAAGAAAGAATATTAAACCTTTAAAGTCAGAGTTTCAGGAATACAAAACATTAATTTAAAACCCCTGTATTTTTTGCATCTCTCTTAGCAGACAATATGTATATATATTTTCTCTTTAACTCTCCTTTAATATTCTCCAGAAGGAAACCCGATAATTTCCAAGAAATATGCCAATAAACAAGGGCGAAAAAATCACGTTCCTCTGAGTGTAGGGCAAAAGGACGAAGGGCGCAGGGCGCAGGGCCTGACATTAGCATTGCATTTGCATAAAATAACATGAATATTTTTGCCACACCCCCGCACAGCCCACTCCCACACACACACACACACGTGCGGTGCACAAACTTAATAAACAGCGCAGTATATTCCACGCCTGGCCAAGCAACCCACACACACTTATGCACAACTACCCACACACCCACACAGAAAAGGGGAGAGAGAGGCCAAGGAATTTATGCACATTGGCATGCACATAAACGCTGGCAGTTACTGGTTATTGTTGTACCGCTCCATGTCCTTCCGCCCCCGCACGCTCCACCCACTCCGAGTTATTTGTTATTGTTGCCGCCTTTGTTTTTGCCTGCTGCATGTGCACTTTTTAGTCCTCGTCTACATAAATATGCAACGCTTATCACATGGTTTTATGGCAGAAGGGGCTTCCAGTTTCTCGTAATGGCTGGGGGTTAAAATCACGCCCACATAAGCCCATAACTGAGGCCCGTCTACAGGTGTCTGGCCTGGCCAGAAGGGGGGAAAGCTATGACCTTAGCAAGGTGTGAAAAAAATGTTTACTAACCCCCACACTTGAGGTGCATTTTTAGATCTATTAATTTGTTCATAAGCCTAGAACACCAGTAACTCCTGCCGAATATTTTTATTAGATGGTTTGGCAATGATCCTTGAATAATTTCTTTTCTAAATTTATTTATAGTTCGTGTCTTATGATATTTTCTTTCAAGTCAGAAAGTACTTTCTCCTCCCCTATTTTGCCTTCGCACCTTTCCCTTGCAACTCCTTTTTTGCTTCAAATAAAAAAGATGAAGCTTATGCTTAAGCTAAGCGTTAGCGCGTCGTGCGCTTTGAATATAAATTATTTTATATTGCCATTGGGCTCTCAGCGAAATTAGTTCCCCCTGCAGGACTGCAGTACTACAGGACTACAGGACTGCCTCTTACAGCTCTCTCATTCTGAATTGTGGGAAATTATTTATAAAATAGTTTTCGAGGGCTGCCGCCTGTACTTCTTACCCGGCGGCAAATGCAATTAGCATTCGCTGATTACCCGGCGAGGAAATGGCACGAGTGTAAATTATGGTTTTTACTTTATGGCAAATTAACCAAGTGAGCTTATTTCGCACACAAACACACACATGCGCTGTTGCTGCCAACTTTTAGCGGCCATAAACTCCGCGTTCTACGGAGGCTGAATTCGAAACTTTTTCGGCTTATGTAAATGGGAAAGCAAAGCGGCGAGTAACCAAGTCTTAAAATGGCAAATTCATTTGCAATTTACCAAGAGCCGTGACATTTTAACTGCTCCTTTTTTAGCCCGATGGCCGTAATCTGTCAACGGAAGTGGCTGTGTTACATTCCAAGAAAAATTGTACTTTCAAGGGCTTGTGACTGTGAACATATGAAATATGAGGAAATATTGCTTATATTTTTTTACCTATTTAAATATCATTTTCCCCAGTGCAGGTCACAGCTCAGGTGCACAGCTTGTATGCCCAATTGCTGTCCGGCTGTCAGCCACTCAACATGGTATTTTAGTGCTCTGCACTCAGGTGGTTCCAGGACCCGAACCCGGTTCCCAGGACCACTTCTATTTCAAAGTCAAAGCCCCCAACTCCAGGCTCTTGAGACGTGCCACGTGGCGTATGTGCAATATGCCGACTTCAAAGAGCAGCCACTTCGTGGAAGCGCCAAGCGAGTCGTGGCTTTCATTAAGCTGACACCACACCACAGGCCCACTCCACTCTGAGCCACTCTGGGGCACCACCTCCTTATCCGGATCATACATATATATATATATATATATATATATATATATATATAAGTAGTACACAGCCATGGATTCCACTTTCGTCCGACCGCGTACAAAGTGGAGGCCAAAAGTTGTTATATTGGAAAAGTTTCTCTGCTTGATTTTTAATATCACAGGTGAACGTAAATAATTTATTGCATTCATTTACGTTTCACATCCAATCGCGCCACGTAAAGATTTCGTAAAAGCAACGGCAAGGTTAGAGGGTGGCCACAAAATTTATTTATGCGTTATACAACAAAAGGCAAGGAGGCAAAAGACGCCAGGCAGCCAGCTAGCCAGGTTAACCCGCCAGCCAGGCGGGCAACAATGTGCGAACAGCCGTTGGCTTTAGCCAGGGCAAAATCCTTTTAGACCATAGATAAGGAAACTTTAATAAACACGCCACACACGCAACCTGGGAAATTGATAAGAATATGAAAAGTTTGCGCCCGACGGAGGAAAACTTTTCAAGCCACCGGACCCAGAGAGCCAGGACCCTGGCTGTTGGCTAGAACTTGCAGCTTTTTAATTTGTATAGCTCATAAATACCGAGTTCACCGAGGAGGCCTGATTAATGGCCCTCCTCCCTGGACTTACCTGTGCTTCTTCAGTTCCATCTGCTGCTGCTTTTTGATCTCCAGCTTCTTGTTGATGTCATAGTTGCGCTGGTGAACCTCATGGAACTCGCCCACGTCGTGGTAGTTGGCCAGGGATCCGAAGGGATTGTTGTAGATGCTGCCGCCACCATGGTGGCCGTGTCCTTCGTGGTGGTGCGACACAAAGTGCGGAAACTCATCTGCAGAGCCAGGAAAAAAACGGCAAACATAAGAGAGCAAAGGAAATGGTGTTAGCAATCAAACTAATTAACGTAAATGCTGCAGTGGCAGTCCATCATTTGGAGCTCAAACAGCAGTGCCCAAATGTCCCATCAGTCGATGGTGCTTCAAAGCTTGTTGGCTGTCAAAGGCGGACACACACTGAGATTAATTTTTGGGTATCTAATTAAAAGTATTCAGAGTGTTTTTATTTGGAAATTCATTTGTACTTAAGTTTTTTTATTTACTAGCAAGAAAAATTAAGGCTTTAGATTGCTGTGATATAGGTTTGAGGTCTGTTTTTTATACCATTGCAGGGTATTACAATTTTAGTCAGAAGCTCATAACTCTGGGAAGGATTCATTTCCGACCCTCTAAATCATATATATTATTAACAGCCGAGTCGTTCTAGCTATGTATGGCAAAAATTAATTTTTTTCAAAAATTTGACAATTTTATAAGGGGTTACATCGTTAAAATTGTCAAAAATTGATAAAAATCCTTAGTTTTGGAAATTTAAAATTTAGTATGCAGATTTATTAAACTACTAAAAACTAAGATAGGAGTGATTTCTGAATTAAAATTAATGCTTTTTTGGCTTAGTTATGAAATTGACTTCTAACACATATTTTCATATAAAAATATATTTGGTCAAATAATGGTATTATAATTATAGTCAAAAGCCTAGAACAACGTGAAGGAGTCATTTCCGACCCTATAAATCATATATATTATTGATCAGTATTAAAAACTGAGTCGATCTAGCCATGTTTGGAGGGAAATGATTTTTTTCATTTTTTTCAATATTTTATAAGGGGTTACATCATTAAAATAGTCAAAATTTAACAAAAAATGCAATTTCTTAAATTTTAAAACTCAGTATACAGATTTGTTAGTCTTATAAAAACTAGCATAGGGGGGAGTTCCGAATTGAAATTATTGTATTTTTGGCTTAGTTATGATTGATTGGACATTTGAACTCATGCTCTTATGGCAATACTAGCTTCGACTACTCAAAGTTAGCTACATTTCCTGTTTAGTATTCATTTTCGCACTTTTTTCTCGCAGTGTGGGGGGCCTACTCACCCGCTCTTGCTCCGGCTGGCCAGCGTAGGCTCTTGTCGTAGCGGTCCATAAATTGGCCGACAGGGATGTGGTACTGCTGGTGGTACTGGTTATAGTACTGTTGCTGGTAGAACTGCTGCTGCAGCTGCTGCTGACTCAGCTGCGTCTGCTGCTGCTGCTGCGTGCGACGCTGGTGCTTCCCATTGAAGGAGAACACGTGGTGGGTGCGCACGTACTTGTCCTCCACCTGCCGAGAAACACAAAGGATCCCCCAATGAGTCAGAGTGGAGTAGTCACTGTGATGTTGATGAGGGCACTCGGCAACAATTACAATGAGCTGTGCACAAAAGTCACTTCAATGTCAAACGCCCCGCTCCAGCTCCGACCCCCTGCTGACCTCTCGGAACCGGCTGGGATTAAATATGGACCAGACCCACATCTGCTGCCCACGCGGACGCAATGCATTCGGACCGGAGAAGGATGTTCTGTGCTGCCTGGGGGCGCGTTTATGAATAAATTTCATTTTAGAGTTTTCCCATATACATATACCATACCGACCGACCGCCACTGGCAGTCATAATAAATTTATTTAAATTCATTTCCTCTCGCCAGCGACAGCATCTGGCTCTGGGCGCCTTGCAATTAAAATGAGCGAGCTGCCCGGCCGACGGTCCATGTAGGCCATAATTATGAAATGGCTTAAACTGATGTTAATCTCAATGCCCAGCTACAGCCACATCCCCAGGCAGTCGTTGGAAGTGCATTATCCCACTGATTAACCTGATGCCCGGCGGTGGTTTTCGCACATAGACGATTCGTAAATAATCCATTGCAAATTGACTCTGATTACCAACAGACAGTGCGGGCGATTCTATTTGTGTATTTGTATAAAATCTGTTATAAATTATGTACTTTAAGCTTTAATATGAAGTAGTTGTTAGGGGAACAAATATTTATAACAGCATGTAAATTGGAAATAAATATAAACCTTAACCGAATTTAAATCTTTCAAATTGGTAATTTGATTTAAATCTTTCATTCTTTTTCAATTTCTAGTACTCAGCACTGTCGCAAACAATTTTCAAGAGCTTGCGCAATCGAATTCCGAATTGTGGATTGCGGATTGCCGAATTGCCGAATTGCCAATTGCCAATTGCTGAATTGGTCGTTTCAAATATCACGCATACGCACCTTTTTCCCATTGATTAGCCACGTGATGTGGGGGGCGGGGCGTCCGCGGGTGGTGTTGCACAGGGCGAAAAGTTTCTCGCCCACCGCGAAGGGCGTTCGCTTGCGAAACTTAATGGTGGGCGGACCCGTCTGCGGCACTGTGGAAGAGCAGAGGGAAGATACGAAGAACCATAATTAGAGTGGGGCCAGGTGTAAATAGCCGAGATAATTGTTACGCACGGAACACGCTCATGAGCTCGTCGGCACTGGCCTTGGTGAAAATGGGTGTATCCGTGGAGACCTCGCAGTAGAACTGGCCGGATAGATCGAACTGGACATCCTTCAGAGTCACCTGCTGCTCGTTGGAATTGTCCCACTGTTAAATGTTAATTGTTAATTGCATGAGGGGAGAGGGAGAGAAAAATGCACAAGGATTAGAGTGGTGGACACCGAATGCTCATTAGCGAATCGATGGATCTGCACAGGACGCGTAGCAAGTAGCATGTCTACCAATTAGCTGCAATTTACCATGGACTATAGACCACTCGGCCGTGCCTAATCCGAGGACAATTACGGGCCGTGGACTGACAGGCGGTAATGATGATTGAGCAAATAAGTGGCCCAAATGGGGTACTTACGTCAATTTCGGCCCCCTCGATGGTGGAATTCCGGAACGGCGGATTCCGTCCGTTTATGAACTCGAAGAACTTGCCCTTGTCAACCTTCAGCCATGTCACCTGCAAAACAAAAGACATATTTACCAATATTAAAAGGACTCCATATGGCGGCCATCCCTCCCGCCCATCGATCTCGCCTGCCAATTGCTCTCTTTCTCTGTCTCTGTTTGTGACAGTGATTGAATGTGTCAGTTCTGATGGCCGGATCAGTTAATGGCGCAACGCCGGATTATTAAATCGCCTCAATTGCGCAATACGTTGCGCAATCGAGAGTCCTCAGAGTCCTTTCCCCTTGTTGCCCCCAACTCCCTGCCGGGCAAAGCAATTTAAGTTGGCAACAAGTTGCAGGGAAACAAACGGAAAATGGAAAACGGAAAACGGGTAAAACTGAAAACTGAATGATGCTGCTCCACCAAGTTGTTAGCGCGTTAAACTGTAAAACAGTAAATAATAAAATGTTTTTATTGGAATAGCGGTGGCAGTGGCAGTGGCTACAACGCGAAGGGAGTGCCACAGGACGCATGTCACCCCAGCAATTAAAAGCACAAATCCACAAAAGCAAGTTGCAGAACGCGGGAGTTGTGTGTGTTTTTTGAGGGACGAAGCCTGCGACAACGGCAAATATGAATAATGAAAATGGAAATTAATTTTCATGCGCAAGTTTTCCCCACATTCAACTTAAAACTAGCTCGGAAAAGGGCCGGATGTTCTGCGGCTGTTGTCGACAATTTTTAATTACGCCCAGCTTTTATTTATTATGCATATTTTTTAACGCCCGCATTTGGTGAGCTTATTTTAATCACATTTCAGCGCGTTATTTGAGCGCCAGATTAAAGCTGAAAAGTAATTTATTTATCCTTGTAGAGGACAGGTCTCTTGGACCGCATTTTCATTTTTGTTTTTTACTGTGGAATTTTTATTGAATTCGAAATTAAAAGTTTTCAAGCGGCTTAGAAATACTATTTCCATTGGCTTTAAAAGGACCTGGAAGCAGGTTAACGATGATGTTCAGAATAAACAGGACCCTTTAGGATCATATGATTTCTTATTTAATATTATTTAAGAATTTAAATATCCTCCTTTGGAACAGTGGATATTCGTCCTTGAAATAATGCTAACAAAATTACAATATCCGAAAACAAATCTTATATCAGTTTGTGTTTTTTAAAATACTATTTTCTCTGACAGGACATTGCACTAAAGACACCTGAACAGGTAATATGAGCAGGTCGACGGACTCTGGTCCTCCACGTGTCACCTGTGCGTCTGCTGATGGCTTGATTGACACGCTCCCAAACAAATTGCATTGATTGCACGCAACTTAATAATATTAATGTGCTTATTGAATGTGTCCGCGGCAGGCGAGGCGTATGCGTAATTTGTGCCGCAAATGTTGCCATTACTCAAGCCTGCGGCGCAGACCGTGTGTGTTTAGCGGGAGTGTTTGTACGTATATGTATGTGTTGTGCGGGTCAATCAATAAAGGCCACACACACACATACACACACAGGGGTAATAATGAGGGGGCAAACACAAACACAAACACTCTGAGGCCAAAGAGAAGTGGCCTGTGGGCTTGGGAACGAAACGGCCATTAGCGCTCTCTCTAGGACCGCCAGACACGCATCAAATTTTATCAACCACTTGTGGTCGTTTCAAACATTCTCCCTCGACTTGACATGCAACTCCCTATCGCCCGTAATATTGCCAATGGATCTGAAAGTAATGAAAACAAAGGTCCCTTCACACTCGCCCCAACTCTGGCAGCCCTTCCACTCCAAATATTTACCTTTACGAACTTAGCCTGGCATGTGTTTGCTTTTGGCGTGTCTGCCTGAGCCTGGGACTGTGCCTGTTCCTGAGCCTGGGCTTGGGTCTGGGCCTGACTTTATTTCTTTTGCCTTTTCGCTCTTTTGTTTATATTTGGGCTTATTAGCCCCGTCCGCCCGCATGTGTGGGAGCATGTGGGACGTCACAAATAATACACAAAAGCTGAAAAGTGGTGGTAAATCAAAAGCTCATTAATGCGCTCTCGGGGCCCGATTGCGGTACCGATTCGCAGGCTCACTTCGTAATTAGTTTATTTAATTTGAATGTGTGCGAGTATAATTTTGGGGCGCAAAATAAAAAGAAGAAAAAAATAAACACAAAATTATGCCTTAACATACCTACATGTGGAGGAAGCGGGCGACATGATCCCGTCACTGGGACTTTAATTGCCTTTTTAGTGCCACTTCCACACAATTTGCCACGCTTCGTGCAACAATCCGAATGGCAGCAGGCGAGCGCACTCGCTTATATAGTTAATTATACTAATTAGCTATCGCCCCGGCGGCCACAACCCGACTGGACTGGCCAAATAAATAAATGTCTACATCTACGTCTGACTCAGACTCTGTTTGGCTATTTGGTTATTTGGTTAGTCCGCTAATTGTGCATGTTTCCCGCCCCGGAACACATTTCACATTTGCCCGGCTCAGTGGCGCATTAAATTTGTTAGTTGACACTCTTCGGAGGCGCCGGCGGAGGAGTGGGACTACCCTCGAATTTCCATGCAAATGAGACACCACAATGGCGGCTTTAAGTTACCCCGGGTCACGATTCGGAAACACGACATGGAATTTCGTGTTCTCTCTGCCTTCTCGGCGGAATGTCGAATAACAATGGACACCACTCCGCTTATAAGTACAATCCACCTCGAGTGCCCCAACCCCGTAATGTCAACGTCAATTCGTTTGTGTTCTAAATCCATCTTAGTTCCACGAAAAAAATAATCAATATATGTACGGCTAATGTTGTTGGCCTGGCGAACAGCAGCGCAATGCTGCTGCTGTCCTCCTTCATGAGCCATAAAATTTGTACGCTTTTTTATGGTACTTAGAGTGAACAAAACGTCAACCTGGAGGAGCTGGAGCCTTCGACCTTGGTCCGGAATAGGAATGCCACTGGAGCGGTGTGAATAGTGCTGGCCACAAAAGTTCACAACTAAATTGAAAGTATGCCCCGTTTCCCTCGGTCAAGTTTTCTGGGCACTGCAAAAAAAATTATAAATCAATTTGGAAGTACAATTGTGTATCCATTTTCCTTATTTGAGTTAAGTAACTTTTTAATTGTTTGCAGTTTATATTTCTCTTTCGTTATTTGATTGAATTTGAGTTATTTCTCTGTGTACTTCAAGTACTTCGTATGTTGGCCATAAATTCTATGGCAAACTCAAGGATTGGCCATGATTTTGGCGTACGCAAGTGCGTGTCTGTTGATGTTTCGTGATGGAATTAAGTAAACTAAAGTGAAATTAATTGCCGCGTCTGGGAAACCGATAGCGAAACAGAAACAGAAACCGAGACCGAGACCGAGACCTAGACCTAAACCGTTACCGATACCCTAACCGAAACTGAGACTTGAGTCGATATTGAGACGGAAGCGGTAAAAGGTTTACGGCCCACCTCGGCCGCTTCGATGGAGCGGAATGGCACTTTGAGTGCAACTTTTTTGCAGCCCGGGGTCCGCGAGGCGGACTGCCTTTGACTGCCACAAAGTTGCGGCACGAAACTTGCTGAAATTCCCGGCGCTCCTGCCCCCGGGGATCCGGCCGTGGTCTGGTTGTGTTTGTCACAGTGCCGGAAACTTTCTGCCCACAAAATAGCACAAGGCGAGCGAGCGAGCAAACTTTCTTTGTGCTCGGCAATTTTTATTTTTCAATTTAAAGTTTTTAATGCGCTTTCCATAATTTATATGCGCATGCATGGCTGGCTGCGAAACGGACTTAATCCAATCCCCGCTGCCACTTACCTTGAACAGGATCTCCGGCTGGACATTGTGCCTGCACTTGAATGTGGCGCTGGAGCCGCGCTCCACATATCTGGGGACCACTAATTGCACCTCCACATCCGATTGTCCATCTGCGGGTGAAAAGGATACACAAACATAAGTACAGCTGGCGAACAAAGGAGCAATAACAATGAAAATCACCGCCCCTCCAATTGTGGCTTAATTGAAAAACCATTAAAAGGCTTCACCAAATGAAAAGGTATCGAAAGAGGAAATTGTAAAAGCTCAGTTCAGTGCCAAATATGCAGGCCATTTAATGTGTGGCCCTCTAGAAATTCCCAACGGAAAGGCGAACTCACGATCTCCCATGTGGGAAGCAGATACTCCTGCCAGATTACGGGACATCGTCCTTTGGCCCCGGCTCAATAAATCTTAATTTGTTTGCCAAAGTGCACATGAGAAATTTTTGCGCCTGCATGCCATTCTGTTCCTGGAGTGAGTGCGTCGGGGTGTCAAATATTTGCAGCTTCCCGTAACCTTCCCCCATGCCTCCATTTTTCACACCAAGGAAGAACGCCGGGCCAGAGGTCTTTTGCTACCGCTTAAACGATATTTTTCCAAGCATTTTTCCCAGCCAGCACGTACACCAGCAAGGTGAGCTTTATCCACAAAAAAAAAGACATGGAAAATTTATATTTGTCCGCAGTTTACACACGTGGCTGACCATCCAGCTGGGCTCACGCTGCGTATACGTAATTCCGGCACTTGGTCCGCTCGACAGTTGATGACATTTAGTATGTGTTCAGGCCAAACAGCAAGAACATTAAATGAAGTCGTTTTTTCGGTGATTTTGTAGGCAAATAAAATTCAATTTTACAGAAAACTTTGCATATGCTGAGGTTGGGGCTAGGAAGTCTGGAAAATGTATATGAGCTCAGCAAGGAGGTTTTTGTGAAGCTTTAAAGTGAGAATTTAATATTCTCTAATACAAAGTTATAAAAGTCCTTTAAAAACTAAATATTTGCTTCAAGAAAATCTAAAAATTCCTCAGTTCTCCTTGAAAATGTTTGCCAATTTCATCAATTGACTTTCCCACACTTTGAAAATGACTCCTTTTGGAAATCGATAAATGAGTTTTGAATGTGCCTGGCCCCAGTGGCAGTGCTTCCGCCCGTTTGCAATCATAATTAAGACATAAAGTGGCCGAGGGCAAACACATTGCCCCAGTTGGAGGAAAAGCCTATCCAGTGGCGCCAATTTCGCTTCCATTTTCATTTATTCACACCACGCGTCCATCGTCAGTCACGCAAAATGTCAACGACTGAGCAAGTAAAAAACGTGTCTGACAGCGCGAAAAATATGGAAATAATCGGATAACGCAAAAGCGGGGAGCGAGAGAACAAACCCAATGAAATGAAGCGTGTCAAGTGTGCATATACATATATATGAACGTTCGATGCGAATGTTGGCAACTTGTTGCCGCCATACATGGCATAAACATGGCCAACCTTCATCGGCCTGGTTTCGTAGCCCCCAGCATGACGTACGTGTTCGTGCCGCACGCTAACGAGCCGAAATTTACGAAAATTCAATCATGACCCCGGTCGGCCAAGAGCAAGACCAGGACGAAGACATGGCCCAAACCCAGACCCAGACCGCAGCCACCAGACAGCCGCAGGCTTTTCAGGGGAATCAGGAGAAGGCATCAGTCCGCAGGCCAACAGGAGAAACGGTGTCAGACGCCAGAGAAAGCACCCGTCTAAAGGGCCAAGGAACTGCACTCGGAAAATTAAACTAATTTATGTTTTCTAGCTCTTACATTTTTCATTAATATCCCATTATTAATGAGAGATTACTTTAAGTATTTAATACAAAATAAATTAAGAAACAAAGTATTATTAAAAGAGAGAACAAGTTATATTAACAAACCTTTATTTCTATTTCGAAATCTTTCAAGTGTAGTCCCACTTTTTTGGTAGCTTCTGGCTTTATAATCTTGTCGGGTTTTTTCGACATTAATTCGCAGTACTTCACGTCATTTTTTAGCCCTGGCAGTTGGCCAATATACACAGCCGTTGAGGAGAACAATCGAAAAGCGGCAAAACGAATAACGAATTTGAACTGCACGACCGCTGACAAGATGCTCGGTTTGGCAGCCGCAATTATGCTGCGTTGACTGCCAGCCAGGCGACGGGCACAACAGGAAAAAGAAAAATTCATTACTAACTCTGGCAAAAAGGATCTACTGCGGCTCCTCTTTTCCCTCCTCTGTGTTGTGCAACAAGCTGCGGCAGGCAGGAGGCTTTACTTTTCCACCACTCACTGGATGGATGGCTGGAAAAAGAGCTTCATTGCCTTGCCTTGTGCTTTTTTACAAGCGGAAATTGATGATTTTCCACGAGCTGAGCGACAATAAAGCGTGCATCATGTCAGAAAAACGCAAATAATCAATCAATCAACATTAATCAACGCTGTGTCCCGGGGAAAGGCAAAAAAGTGGGGAAACTGTTGCAGGCGCGGGGGCGTGGTCTTCGATTTGACTTTAACAACTGGATTAGGCCTCGAGGGAAATTGATATTTATCGCCAGCTGCACAAGAACCACAAACTCAATTCAGTTTTGGATAGATTTCAAGTGCTTTGGAAGAGATTCATCGCTCGGAACTTTATTGGTTTCCATATTCATTTCGATTTTCTGATTGCCATCGCCCCGTCCCCAAGTCCTTCATTAGACAAACTTGCTTCCACACAGGTGTTCCAAAATACACACGGCAAACCGCAGACCGAAAGCATAATAAATGTTCCCTCCACCTTACTCTACCTCTCCCAAAGTCAGCATTCCAACGCCAACTTAAACTGCTGACCACAAGCTTGAGTTTGGGTTCGAGTTTTTCGAGTTTCCCATTCGATTCAAAATAGAATTCAGAGCCATGATTAATGAACAAACTATTAAAGTCAATAATTGTTTACCGCTGGATAATTTAAGAGCAATAACTGGACAAATGATTGATTATCCAGGGGACAATAATTAAAGAACCCCTTTATTGCTGACCAACTTTATTCCACTAATTGTCATTTACGTGATCAATAAAAAATAATATTAATAAACCATTGAACCATTAAGATATTAACCATACAAACTGTCTCCTGTGATTGCGAAATCAATATTATTTTACCAATTAATTACTATTATTATAAATTAAAACTTTTTTACTCTTGGCGAATGGAAAATTATACTGAGAAATGAAATAATATGAATTCACAGAGAAGCGATGTTTTGTTTCATTAGGAATTCAAAAACTGAGGGTTTATAAATCTTATAATCTTATACCCTTGCAAGGGTGTTGTAATTTCAGTCAGAAGCTTAAAATTCAGTGAAGGAGTCATTTCCGACCCTATAAATCATATATATTCTTGATCAGCATCAACAGGCGAATCTTTCTAGGCATCTAGAAAAGAAAATAAAATGTTGGGAAATTTTGTCAAATTTTTTTAACAGATTTTTACATAGTTGGCATTTTGAAAATTGACAAAAATTTTAATATATTAAAATTTAAATAGAGAAATGCAGATTTATTAACCTATTAAAAACTAGCACAGAACAGCTTATGGATTGGAAATTAATGCATTTTTGGCTTAGTTATGACCAATTTTCTCTGCAAGGGTATATAAATTTAGGAAACCCGAATTTCACTTGTCTAAAAATTTCAGCCTCATCATATAATTATTCCCTTAACCTATTCCTTTTCCAAAAAATTTCTTTAAAAGTGGCATTACCCTATTAGTATTATTGCTTTGATAGATGCTCCAGCATTTTTCCTCTGACAGCGCAATAATAATATCGACTTTGGGGTCAGTTGTCTTGGCCTGTCCAGCTGTCAGTTCCGTCCCCGCCGCTGTCTCTGTCTCCGCCTCCGCCTCCAGCTCCCCAGTGCCCCCAAATGGCTCGGAGTCATTATGGCTGAGTGGCAGACAATACTCGTAGCCAGCACATTCCATGGAGTTCATTAGACACGGGCAGCTGCCACTGGCGGCCTGAGCAGGGAGTCGCCATCATAGTCCTGTCGTCTATACCCCCAACCCAAGCTTTTCAAAACTGATTTCCTGTCCTCATTACGGCTGTTTGTCCGGGATCGGATCGGGCTCCGAGACCGAGGCCGAGGCCAGGGCGTGACTGTCAATAATTTTCAACGTGCAATACCTTATCCGTCGGGGGTGGGCGGGCCGTCTCTGCCATTTTCTAATTGATTTGTGGCCATGTGGCTTTCCAATTTAAATGCACGCTTGATTGGGACTCGTGACTGCCTGGCAGCCTGGCAGCCTGGCTGCCTGACTGCCCGACTGGCAGAACAATGTTTTTAAAGTTGACCGCACACAAAGCCAACATTTTCCTAGCCATGGCAACCGAAACACTATCAGCAACATAAGCCAAACAATAAAACGCAAACACCCGGCATTTACCCACTCTCGAGGGCCGCCGAAAAGGATAAGGCCATAAGTCGTTATGCTGCCGAGGCGTTCGCTCAGAAAGCGTAAGCACGGGCTTTGGTCCTGGCTCCTGGCCTCGTTTCGGGGCGGGATTGTGGCGAAAACAAAGGCCAAAATAAAAGGCAGACAAGGTCCGACGGCATGTTCAAGGCATAAAGTAATTTTATAGAACAAATCACAGGCATTAGCGGATATAAATCCAGTTTATCCCTATGCCAGTGTATGCGCGCGTGAAATTCAAATAACTTGGCTGGAGAGGCGCCGCCGGAGGCACGCAACATTGGTGGGACAAAGAAAAATGTCCGATTGTGGCCTACGGAGGGTCCTTAAGCTGCCTTGAGCCGGGTGTGTAATTCTAGATCCCCACTAGCTACCAGCTACTAGCTGGTACATGCATATAGGGAAAGATGAGAGTTTTTCCGGGCAGACAAATCGCCTGTGTCACAGCTGGAAAATCTTTCTGGGATACTCAAACTTGAACAGCTTTAAGCGAGTGATTTTAAAAAGAAACAAAATAAGCAACAATCTTTTATTTCATTTCGTAATTTTCACTCGCACATTTTAGTCACATTTCTGAAATTAAATCACAGCAGAATGCCGCCGCCATGAATGGGAATCAAAATCAAAAGAAAATGAAAATGAAAA